CAATGGTTTTGCCTTACCTATAGTAGAGGAGGTTGAAAAATCATTGTGGAACAATTAAAGGTGCAGACGTAGTTTGTATTCTGATGAGGTCCATAGTTATAGAGAAGTTCAAGTGTGGCTTGGACTTGAAAGATGTCTATGACGGTTTAGCCCATGATAGGCTGTGGGAGAGCAGTAGTGAAATTTAGATTTCAGTGAAACGATTGTGACTTGACTCAAACGTCGAACCAAGATAGAGATTGTTAGAATATGTCTTGAGTTTGAGTCGAAATCAAAAATCTGAATTTCAAAAATAAATAATTAAAGAGGAGAAATTTGAGACCAAGTTTCGGAAATTGGTTGAAGTCCACTTCAATATTTTTCTCGTTGGAGTCAAGGCGGAATAGAACTTTGACCGTGAAAAGAAAACAATAAAGAAAAGGAAAGTGTGGACTTGTTGATTGGGCCAAAGAAAGAAAATAAGAAACAAAAAAAGGACAAAAAATCCTTGTTTGAGTCGGCAAAAGGTTCAGACAGTTTTGCATATATATATTTTGCTCACGCATTGATTCTGGCACCATTGTTGATAAGCGTGGGCTGTGTTTAATTACATTCTGGCGTCTTCTTCGTGCGTGAGATCGGCGAAAGAAAAATACGAGTGATTTGGCCGAGAAATTCTTGTGTTAAGATTTTGTTAATTTTTTCGTGAGATTGAGAGATTATTTCGTGAGGAATTATGGGGTAAAACACTGCGTAAGTTATTGGGTGTAATTTGGGGTTATGAAATATTGAGTGTATTTGAGTGACTCAAGTAAAGTTGTAATTTTCTTGTATCGCTTGATCTATAGTGTAATTCGTTGTTGCTCTCCCCGTAGATATAGCTTACTATGACTAAATCACGTAAATCTGCTATCCGATTTATTTTTTTGTTCTGTCTATTTTATTATTCGATCACTTGTTTCCACAAAAGTCATCACTGTCAGTAATTGAGAATTTAAGAGATCATCCTTCGTTTCAATGACAATGAACCACTTGGTATAATTTCTTCGTAACCAAAGATACGAACAAAAGTCACATGAGAGATGCTGAAATAGCTAAAATAGGAGCTATCTTGATTCATGACCAATGTCTTTAGGAGCTCGAGCAGCTTGTGGTCATTCAAAGACATAACCAGGTGTTTGAAATGGCTTGGATAATCATGTTCAGCTCATAACCGATGGGGCATAAAATTTTTGAGTTCATCACCTCTCGATTATCCATAGTCATCAATCTATCATTTGGAAGAAACCGACAATTTTGTCAGAAAAAAATTGGATTCACTGAGTATGGTTTAAGAAGCACAAGAGTCTACAAGTCATTGATTGTCGATCGCGATCGGGTTTGGAAGTTAAGTTTAATTCCAAGAAGATTTTGGCTCAATGTAGTTGATCTTATGTAAGTCCTAAATGATATCAAATCGAGAATGACTGAAAATTTAATGGACGCACTTTCATTACAGTAGAGGCTCTGGTTTGCGTTCATCTTTTTCCTTCGTAGCAAGCATTACTACACTATAGTAATGGCTAGGGGTTTGAGAGGCATTGCGGCATTAAGATTTTCAAGATTTGGTCAAGGCTTTGCTCAGGACCCCACTACTCAGTGGCATTTGGTTTTGTGTACATGCAATGGACCTCGGGCTAATTCTACTTCAAGTGGACTACAATGATCGCCAACACCGAATGGGGGGCCCTGACCAAATGATAACTGGCAAACGGCATGGAAACTTCAAGTTCTCATTAATTAAGGTGGTGAACTCTATAAGGAAACAGAAATGGTACTATCTTGATATAGTGACTAAATTATATCATTTGTTACTTGCAAGTGTAAATTTGCAACGTATCTTACCAATCAGAGTCTCGGCAACTGCAAATTCAAAATGATGATGATGTGACTACATTAATTCCAGCTACAGGTACTGCTATCCTTAGAATGGCTGCAGGTGTATTTTTAGGCTGCGCATGACAACTATTCTGTACTCGTGAACAGATTCTGTTCAGAAATGATTCTTTTTTATTTCGTGCTCGGGAACAATTTATAAGCATTTGAAGACGTTTGGTAACTGCCCAAAATTTCTACTCTTAGAATAGAAAAAGAACAGAAATGGGTCTGATAACCACACAAAATTTCATTTTATTAATAATATTTTGAATTTTTTAATATTTCTTTCTCTTTTTTTCCTTTTTTTTTCTTTCTTACCACTCCCTTCCTTGGCCATGGCCGGTCGCCGACGCCGGCAACCGGCCACAGGCCAGGGCTGGCGAGGGCGTCGCGGCCCTCGTCGCCGGCCTTGCCGGTGGCGACGGCGGGGTTGAGCCTCGCTTAGCCAAGGCGAGGCTGACCTCGCCGTCACCAACCAAGCCCGTCACCTGGGTGGCAATAGCGAGGTCGGCCTCGCCTTGGCTAGGCGAGGCCTCGCCGTCGCGGTCACGAGCTGCCCTCACTAGCCTTGGCTTGTGGCCGATCGCCGGCGAGTGGCTGGCAGCAGGCTGGTGGCGGGCTGCAAAGAAGAAGAATAACAAATAAAAATAAAAATAAAAGAAAACCAAGAAGAATCAGAAATGGAAAAATTGTTCTAGAATCAAGAAGCTACTTTTTTTTGCTTCTTGATTCTGTTCCAAAACTTATTCTGGGAATAATTTTTTGCAAAAATGTGTCTGGGCACAAAAAATTTAACAAACGGATTTCTATTTCCAAACTGATTCTGGGAACAAAAGAACAAAATTTTTTACTATTTGGCAAGTTGCCAAATGGGCCCTTAGATATAATAATATATCGTCAATCTTCAAATGTATTAACTTTTATCTGGAGCTAAAACAAGGAAACAAGAAGAAAAAGAAAGGTAACCGATTAGTTCAGTCATTGGGTCGTTAAAAGATGTTGTTCAAATTCCAAACCTTCAATTTCTTCGGTCCTGAACGATGTAGTTCCATCAGGAAGCTTCTCTCAAGAATAGCTTCCAGTCGCCAGGGAAGATGTTAGAGATTTATCTTTTTAGTTTTTGTCTTAGTTATGTTTTGTCATACGAGTGGTCGTTCTTTGCGTTTGTGGTTTTCGCCGCGGTTGGCCATTCTTGATGTTTTTTGTCGATCCATAGTGAGTGTCCGTAGTTTAGTCGAGTTGACTTGAAGTAACGGTTTAGTCGGTGAGAAGTTGTAAAGCTTCGCGTTGCGAATAGCTTTGAATATTTGCTTTGGACGAGAGTTTTGGTTAGCATATAGGAGTCGTTTCGATAGAGAGTAAGCTTGGTTTAGCTGATTTGTAGTTACGGTAGCGTTTTACTCGACTTTGACATTTTTTCTCGCTTATTTAATATGATTGCGAGTTCAATGGTTCGAGCAATCTTTGTTGTTTGGTCGTAGAAGTTCCTAGGTGAGTTATACTATCTCTTCCATGAATTTGTGAAGTCATGTTTTGAAAGCTATGGAGATTTGCAGTATTATGAGTTTTGAAAGAGCACGTTTGTTGCATAAAATCTAGTTTGGACATTTACTACTTTTCGGTTATTTGTGAATATTCTGAGAAATGTTTTATGAAAGGCATTTCGAAATGTTATTTGTTTATGAAATAAATTCTGAAATTGTGCGAGAAATGTCTAGTGAAATATATATTTTGTTGATGAACAAAGTTGAGAAAGATTATAAATTTTGTGTTTGCAAAACTTTTTTGTAAAAGAATTACTAAAAGCTCTTGACTTTGAGTATGGTTTATGAAAGGTTATATGTATTGATTTGTGAAATACTTTATGAAATGCATTTTATTTGATAAATTGAGTTGTGAAAGGTGATTTGATTTAGTTTGCGAAACCGATTTATGATACAGATTTTGATTTGGTTTTATTGAAAGATTGGTTTATGAAAGGTTATGTTTTGATTTGTGAAACCAATTGTGATATGGATTGGTCAAGGGCTAAGTGCTTTACGACGACGTGAGTCTTGTGGGACCCACCTTTAGGGCTTTGTACCGTTGATATCTATTGACCAAGGGCTAACTGCTACATGATGACGAGAGTCTCGGGAGAGCCATATCTAAAGTCTTGAGTTGGATATTGGGCATAGAATTGGTCATTGATGTGTGATTTGAGATAGTGGACCATTGATGTGTGAAATTAATCAATAGACTTGACCATTAATGTTTGAATTATGGTGGTTGATTAAATGAGTATTTCTTATTTGTATAAAGTTTTGTTGAAATGAAACAACTCATATTTGATTTGATATGTATATTATATCTTTAGTTTGAAGTACGAGTTTCTAGTATTGCTTTATATATATGCATAGTGATTTAAAAGAGATGTACTGCTCACTGAGTTATTGCTCATTCCATTTGTCTTTAACGTTTTTTAGGTTTTCGGCTAGTAGTCGATAGTACGAGAGCCCTATCAATTGACTTTTGGGAGTTGGATATTTTGGTACCAACTTACTTAGTTGTAATTGACTGAGTTGAGGTTATTGGATTTAGTTGTTAGCTGGAGTTGTACATATTTATTTATTGATTATAGAAACTTTGATTTTATAACTATTTCATTGATTTATTAGATATATTTTTGTGGATGGAGATATATATTTTAATAACAGGTTTTTGGTTTTTGGATGGAAGGACAGCAATATCATTCTGAATTCCTCTGGTTTCGGGGTGTGATACTGTCACATTATTTAATATGCAAAACTTAATAACCAATCTTGGGGTCGATTTGTGTAATTTTCAAAAGAATCATTTCAGGAAATGATTTTGTATTCGTGCTGGGTCTCACTCCCAGTGGACCCATATGAAGCTCAGCCTCGTTCCCCTCACCATTGCGCGTTAAATTGCAACAGTATTTTGATTGACTTCTTACAGGACAGAGGAGAAAGAAAAGTTCCGAGATACTTCCTAGCCTAAAAGGTCCAGCAGGTATCTTCCAGGGGGTTACCTAGAAACAACCCGGTATGACTTCAAAGCAGGGGCATAGGCTCCATTTAAATCAAATCTTCACACTTTCAGAGCTGAAACATACAAACACAATATCAACAATACTGTTGCATCAGAGAGATGGTTTTCAAGTTTGCCACCATTGACCTCACCGAGGATGTCGATGTTTCCACTCTGTTTTTGCCGCCTCCTTCTCCATCGTCGTCCACCATTTGCCTGCCACTTGGCAAGAGCTTCACCCGAGCTATGGCTGTTGCGGGCAGAGTCGCTGAAGGCGCTTCTCTTGGGTTCACTGCCTCTGCCGTTGAGGTTTCTTGTTGGAGGCAGCAGAAATCCTCAGACAACTTGGAACTCCAATCACTTCGGCCTCAGGTACAGCTTCGCAAATTTACTTACCAGGAACTGAAAGTCGCAACTGGCAATTTCAGCAAAGACAATGTTTTGGGCCAAGGTGGGTTTGGTAAGGTCTACAGAGGAATTTTGGTTGATGGATCTCTGGTGGCAATAAAAAGATGTGAACAACTATTTGGCCATGCTGAAGTGCAGGTTGGGAGTATGGCCATGCACCGGAATTTGATCCAAATGCTGGGCTTTTGCGATCCAACGGAACAACAAAAAGCCTTCAAGAAAAGAAAAGCAAGAACAGAACCAAGAGAATACCTGCTGGTATATCCACTGGCCGTCAATGGAAATTTGGCTTCCCATTTACGGGAGCGCCCTGCATTGCAGCCCCCTCTCAATTGGCCTACCCGGATGCACATTGCCTTAGGAGTAGCTAGAGGGCTCTCGTATCTTCACGGGGGTTGCAGTCTTCAGATAATTCACCGTGACATTAAGCCTTCAAACATTTTGTTGGACGAGAACTTCAAACCTCTCATTGCGGACTTCGGCTTGGCAAAATTCATGAATCATGAAGATTGGAACCAGCAGCTCCAGAAGTTGAAAAGCGCTGGGGCACCACACCAAATGGCTGAAACTGAAGCAGTGAACAACCATGAGAGGTCTTTTTGGGCTCTGGAAAGATCAGCAGAATTACGCAGTACCTTTCGATTATGTGGTACTTATGGATATATGCCTCCGGAGTACGTGATGCGAGGGGAATTATCAGCAAAGAATGATGTCTTCGCATTCGGAATGGTGCTCCTCGAGCTCGTCTCTGGTTTCAAGGTTCTTGATCTTTTGTCGGATCGTGCCAGAAAAGGAATCAATGAATTCGAGTGGGTGAAATATCGTCTGGAACATAACGAGTTGGGAGGTCTGATTGACCCGAGCTTGAGGGGAGACTATGACGAGAATGAGGCGAAGAAGTTAGTCAAACTGGCTCTCTTCTGCATCCAATCTCCACCAACAAAACGACCCACGATGTCAGAGGTCGTCCGAATTCTCAAAGGAAGCTGCTTAGATGAAAGATGGGAGAGTGAAAAAGAGGGGCTAGCAGTTGATATCAGGCAAACTAGTTCTCAACCTTGCGGCACCGTCACTGACTCTGCATCACATCTTGATCCAGAGGAACTGTCAGGACCGAGATGATGTCTTTGTCCTGCAAGCGAGCAGACTTAGCATTATAAATTTATTATAGTCATGCACTGGTCGAGAGAGTCGCGCTTCAGTTTTCTCTTGATTTTATTTCTTCAATGTGTTGTTGTCATCACTGTCATTAATTGAGAATTTAAAACATCATCAGTCATTTCAATGACAGCGAACCACTTGGTATAATTTCTCCGTAACCAAAGATACAAACAGAAGTCACATGTAGAGATGCTGAAATAGCTAAAATAGGAGCTATCATGATTCAGGACCAGAGTCTTTAGTAGCTCGAGCAGCTTAGAGTCATTCAAAGACATAAGCAGACGTTAGAAAAGGCTTGGATATCGTGTTCTGCTCGTAACCTATAGTGCAAAAAAAAAGTTGAGTCCATCCCCTCTCGATTATCTAAAAGTCGTCATTTTGTCATCGGAAGAAACTGACAATTTTTTGTCAAAAAAAAAAAAACATTTGATTCTCAAACTATGGTGAAAGAAGCACAGGAGTTTATAAGTTAGATATCGATTATCGATCGGATCTAGAAGCTAAAGATGTGAATGATAATCTGTACAATTTACTAGACGAGTTTCTAAATAGAGATATGTATTTGATAATGACACAAAATTTCTCCATTTTACGCTCTTTTTCATTTATCGCCGAGGGGCGACTGGCAGGAGGGCGGTGGGGGGTGGCGGCGGTCAGCGAGCAGTGGGCAGGCAAGCTGGCGGTAGCCGCATGCGGCAGGGGGGGTGGGAGATAAGGGCGAGCAATGATGAGAGTTTTTATTTTTCTTTTTGTTCCATAAATAGAAAAGCAGATAATTTTTACTTTTCATTTTTATTCCAAACATTTTTGGACTAAAAATTTATTCCTGAAATAGAAAAACGTAATTACATTACCAAACATATTTTTGTTTCAAACCTGTTTCCAGAAATAGAAAAATAGAAAAGAGAGAAACAGAATGATTATCATGGGTGCTATAAGTTTCTGGGAGGCTGACATAATGCACACTTTCATGTATTCGCTTTCACAACGGAAGGGGCTTTGATTTACGTTTGAATTTTCTTCATAGCAAGTATTATTATGATAGTAATGGCTAGGGGTTTGAAAGGGGAACATTTATCCAAAAAGTCCTAAATCTATTGTACGACGGCCGATGTAGTCCTAAACTTTTAAATTTTGCCAATTTAATCCTAAACCTTTTGACAATTTTTCAATGTAGTCCTCCTGGTCAATTTCGATCGGAAATCGCTGACGTGGTGATCCAGTTAGCACCAATCATCTATGTGGCATCACCGGCACTGACTTGGATGATTTTTACAATTTTTTTCTCTTTTCTTTTTTGATTGTCTTTCCTAAAATAAAGAGGGGATTTACATGGTTGGTAGCTCATCAGTATTCGGCCATCAGCAAGGGCCGCAACGCCCTTGCACAGATATGGCAAGGGGAGGTGCCAAGTCCATGACCCTTGCCAAGGTTAGCGACGCTCTGGCGAACCCCACTGCCCTTATAGGAAGATGAACAATTGAAAAAAGAAGAAGAAAAGAATAAAAAAATGAAAAATTCTAAAAAAATTGCAAAAATTACAAAAATTGTTTACGTCAGTGCTGTCATGTCATGTAGGACGGCTGGCATCCACGTTAGTAATTTCTGGCCAAGATTTTCTGGAAGGGTTATATGTGAAAATCGTTAAAAGATTTAGGACTAAATTGACCAAATTAAATAATTTAAGACTGAATTGGCCACTATACAATAGCTTTATGACTTTTTAGACAATTATCCCATTTGAAAGGCATTGCGACATTACGATTTCCAAGATTTGGTCAAGGCTTTGCTCACGATCCCACTGCTCAGTGGCATTTGGTTGTGGGAATGTGCAATGGATCTTGAGCTAATTCTACTTAAAACACTGAATTAGGTCTTGACCAACAATAATAGGTGAACGAAATTGAAACTCCAACTTCTCATTAGTTAAAGGTGGTGAACTCTACACGCAAATAAACATGGTACGATCTTGATATAGTGACCATACTTTGTCACTTGTTACTTGCAAGTGTAAATTTGCCTTGTAACTTACCAATCAGAGTCTATGACGCAGTGACTACATTAATTCCAGTAACAGGTTCTACTGTCCTTAGAACGACTGCAGGCGTATTCCCACGACGTGGGGGACGAGGCTGAAGAACTTGCCAAATGCAGGGGCGAGCTCCTTTTGAAGTTTTGAGTAAATTATCTTTTTTTTATGTTAATTAAAAAGTTAAAATATTTAATAGCTGAATTGAATTTTTTTTGAAAAAAATTATGTTTATTCAAAACTAGATCCCATTGGGCCATCAAATTTAAATAAAAAGAATGATCTTTTTTGTCAAAAAATTGATGATATGGATCAAGAGTGTGATTTTTCAAGTGTTAATTATATAAAGCATGAGGAAAAGTATTGGTACGTTGGAGGTTGTAGTTTTATTTTATTTTATTTTTTGCTAGAAAGGTTGTAGTTCTTCTTATTCGATTGCTATGAATGAAATCCTTTAGAATAATAAATACAAGCTAACGCGAATAATTTTTTTAAAGACTTAGAATAGCCCTCTTTCACTATCTAATTCCCTAAAAAATCCCAAACTATAAGCCCAATCCCAATCCTGTCCTCAACTTTTTTTCGGCCAAAAACAATTCCCAATTTTCACTCTAGTCCAAAATTTGCCATGCATCCAAAAAATATCACTGATTTTTTCAATTGATCTTTGAGTCAATATGAATCGATTTCGGAAATGGTTTTTTCCTCTCGCTGAGTCTCCCTTCATACGAAGCATAGCCTCGTAGTCTCACTACCCCTCACCGTTGCGCGTTTGGTTGCAACAGGATCCTGTTTGACTTTGTTACAACACGGAGAAAGAAAAATTCAGGAATACTTCCGGGGCTAATAAGTTCAGCGGGTACCTTCCAGGATGTTACCTAGAAACAACCCAGTTGACGTGAAACGAGGGGGCATAGGCTCCATCAAATCAAATCTTTCCACACTTTCAGAGCGTGAACCATACAAACACATACCAGCAATACTGTTGCATCAGAAAGATGGTTTTCAAATTTTACACCATTGATCTCATCGAGGATGTCGATGTTACCACTCTGTTTTCGACGCCTCCTTCTCTGCCGTCCACTGTTTGCCTTCCACTGGGCAAGACCTTCACTCGAGCTATGGCTGTTGCGGGCAGAGTTGCTGAAGGCGCTTCTCTTGGGTTCACTGCATCCGCCGTCGAGGTTTCTTGTTGGAGGCCGAAGCAATCCTCCGATGACTCGAATCTCCAATTGCTTCGGCCTCAGGTAGAGCTTCGAAAATTTACTTACCATGAACTGAAAGTTGCGACTGGCAATTTCAGCGAAGAGAATGTTTTGGGCCAAGGTGGGTTTGGTAAGGTCTACAGAGGACTTTTGCTGGATGGATCTCCGGTGGCAATGAAAAGATGTACCCATCTATCTGGCCATGCTGAAGTGCAGGTTCATGCTGAAATGAAGGTTGGGAGTATGGCCAGTCACCCGAATCTGATCCCAATACTTGGCTTATGCGATTCAATGGAACCACAAAAACCTGTCAAGAAAAGAAAGGCAAGAACAGAACCGGTAGAGTACCTGCTGGTATATCTATTGGCGGTCAACGGAAATGTGGCTTCCCATTTGAGGGAGCGCACTGCATTGCAACCCCCTCTCGATTGGCCTACCCGGATGCACATTGCCTTGGGAGTAGCGAGAGGGCTCTCGTATCTTCACGAGGATTGCAGTCTTCAGATAATTCACCGCGACATAAAGCCTTCAAACATTTTGTTGGACGAGAACTTCGAACCTCTCATTGGGGACTTTGGCTTGGCAAAATTCATGAATCATGAAGATTGGAAACATCAAGTCCAGAAGTCGAAAAGCGCCGGGCCACCACACCAGATGGCTGGAATTGAAGCAGTGAACAACCAGGAGAGGCCCTTTTTGGCTCTGGAAAGATCAGCAGAGTTATACCGTACCAATAAAATATGTGGTACATATGGATATATGCCACCGGAGTACGCGATGCACGGGGAATTCTCGATAAAGAATGATGTCTACGCATTTGGGGTGGTGCTCCTCGAGCTCACCTCTGGTTTTAGGGTTTCTGTTTTTTGGCAGTATCTCGATGATTTCGAGTGGATAAAATATCTTCCGGAACATATATAACGAGTTGGTACGTCTGGTCGATCCGAGCTTGAGGGGAGACTACGATGAGAATGAGGTTAAGAAATTAGTCAAATTGGCTCTCTTGTGCGTCCAAGAATCACCAACAAAACGACCCACGATGTCGGAGGCAGTCCAAATTCTTAAAGGAAGCAACTTAGTTGACAGATGGGAGAGTGAAAAAGAGGAGATAGTACTTGCTTTCCGGAAAATTGGTTTTCAATCTTGCAGCACCCTCACTGACATTGCATCTCATCTTGATCCAGAGGAGCTATCATGATCGAGATCTCGCAGCACGCTCACTGACTCTGCGTCTCATCTTGATCCAGTGGAGCTATCAGGACTGAGATGATGTCTTTGTCCCGGAAGAGAGCAGCCTCAGCATTATAAATTTTATTATAGTCATGCACTGGTTGAGAAACACGCGCTTCCTTTTTCTCTAGAATTCTTTCAATGTGCTGTTGTCATCACTGTCAGTAATTGAGAATTTAAGAGATCATCCTTCATTTCAATGACAATGAACCACTTGGTATAATTTCTTCGTAACCAAAGATACAAACAAAAGTCGCATGGGAGATGCTGAAATAGCTAAAATAGGAGCTATCATGATTCATGACCAAAGTCTTTAGGAGCTCGAGCAGCTTATTGTCATTCAAAGACATGACCAGGTGTTAGAAATGGCTTGGGTAATCATGTTCAGCTCATAACCGATGGGCATAAATTTTCTGAGTCCATCACCTCTCGATACATCTATAGTTATCAATCTATCATCCGGAAGAAACCGACAATTTTGTCAGGAAAAAAAAATTGGATTCACTGAGTATGGTGTAAGAAGCACAAGAGTCTACAAGTCAGATATCGATTGTTGATCGGGTCTAGAAGCTAAGGACACGAATGATGACAGTTCTTTTTTTATTTTTCCCATTTTTTTTGTTCCCAAGAACAATTTTGGAACAGAAATCTGTTTGGCAAAGGAACTTCATTTTTTTTTTATTTTTGAGACAAATTTTTAGCCCAAAAGTAGATTTGGAACAAAAATGAGAAGTAACAACTCTTCTTATCGATCGCCCTCGCCACCCACTGCCGCCCCCCGCCTGCTGCTGCCTCTGGGAATAAAAATTTAAGAATAACTTATCAAACGAATTTCTACTCCGGGTATATAAATTTTGTGTCGTTACCAAACATTGTTTTCTGCTCAGAAACTCGTCCAGAGAAGGCTAGAAATTGGGCTGGAGAAAAGAATGGTTTTCATTCACGCCCTAAGTTGAATTCAAAGATGTTGACTCAATGTAGTTGATCTTATGTAAGTCCTAAACGATATCAAATCAAAGAACAAACTTAGAATAAGTGCAAAGCGAATTTTTTGGTTTTGGAAAAGTTGATGTCAACAGACCCAACACTGGCGCAATCCCATACGGGACAGACCCTGCATCACAGATCACATGAATCTAAGTAAGGTTTCCAGGAGAATGACTGAAAATTTATTGTCCGCTGAAAATTTAATGTACGCGCTGTCATAACAGAAGGGGCTCTGGTTTGCGTTTATCTTTTTCCTTCGTAGCAAGCATTACTGCACTATAGTAATGGCTAGGAGTTTGAGAGGCATTGCGGCATTACGATTTCCAAGATTTGGTCGAGGCTTTGCTCAGGACCCCACTACTCAGTGGCATTTGGTTTTGTGTAGATGCAATGGACCTCGGGCTAATTCTACTTCAAGTGGACTACAATGATCGCCAACACCGAATGGGGGGCCCTGAACAAATGATAACAGGTGAACGGCATGGAAACTCCAAGTTCTCATTAATTAAGGTGGTGAACTCTATAAGGAAACAGATATGGTACTATCTTGATATAGTGACTGAATTATATCATTTGTTACTTTCAAGTGTAAATTTGCATCGTATCTTACCAATCAGAGTCTCGGTAGCTACAAATTCAAATGATGACGTTGTGACTACATTAATTCCAACGATAGGTACACTTGTTAAACGGGCGGGTCGGATCGGGTTTGGATCAGGACATAAATGATCCGACATAAATTGACTTATTTAACTCGTTTATGACGCATTTATCGCAAGGCAAATTTCTCGACCCATACTTAACCCGACCCAACTCATTTAGCTAAATCTAGGAAAGCTTATTTCTACTAATTATTTTAAAAAATTGTATTGCTAAAATATTTTCATGCAATACAAATATAGTAGACAATTTTTATATATTTGTTCATAAAAATTGGGCCAAATACGACATTTCTGGAAAATGTTTTTAGGAAAATGACAATGTTTTTTAAATATTTTAATATATATTTTTTAATTTTAAAAAAATCATATTTGATTATTTTTCTTTTTTTATTTTCCTTTTTGCTTTTTTTTTTTTTCTTTTTTCTTACTGGCAGCCGACCATAGGCGAGGGATGAGCTTGCCGATCTGGCTAGCTTCGAGCCTAGCGCCAGAGGTTAGCGAGGCCGAGGCCAGACCTCGCTAGATCGACAAGCTCATGCCTCGCTTGTGGTCGGCCCTAGCGGAGGAAGAAGGAAAAGAAAAAAAGAAAAAGAAAATAATTAAAAAAATCAGGAAATTTAAAAAAATTTGAAAATTACATGTTTATTATTCACTTTAGCTTGTTGGGTAACCCATTTGTGACCCATTTAATACCCATTAAGTTAATAGGCAACCCATTAATAACCCATCTAAGTCTACTTTTAAAACTAAAGCCAACCCATTAACCTACAATCATTAAATATGGGTTAATATATGGGTTCATGACCCATTTACCACCTCTAGCGACAGTTCCTACTGTCCTTAGAATGGCTGCAGGCGTATTTTTAGACATAATAATACACCGTCAATCTTCAAATATATCAACTTTTATCCGGAGCTAAAACAAGAAAACAAGAAGAAAAAGAAAGGTAAGCGATTAGTTCTGTCATCAGGACGTCGAGAGATGTTCAAATTCCAAACCTTTAGTTTCTACGGTTGTGAACAACGTAGTTCCATCAGGAAGCTTCTCTCTAGAAGAGCTTCAAGTCTCCAGGGAAGATGTTAGGGATTTATCTTTTTAATTTTTGTCTTAGTTATGTTTTGTCATGCGAGTGGTCGTTCTTTGCGTTAGTGGTTTTTCGCCGCGGTTGGCCATTCTTGAGGTCTTTTGTCGACCCATAGTGATCATCCGTAGTTTAGTTGAGTCGATTTGAACTAACGGTTTAGTCAGGGCGAAGTTGTAAAGCTTCGCGTTGCAGATAACCTTGAATATCTGCTTCGGATGAGAGTTTTGGTTAGCGCGTAGGAGTTGTTTCGTTAGCTAGTAAGCTTGATTTAGCTAATTTGTAGTTAAGGTAGCGTTTTACTTGACTTTAACTTTATTTCTCGCTTATTTAATAGGATTGCAAGTTCAACGGTTTGAGTAATTTTTGTTATTTGGTTGTAGACATTCTCAGGTGAGTTATAATATATATTCTATGAATTTGTAAACTCATATCTTGAAAGCCGTAGAAATTTGATATATTATGAGTTTTGAAAGAGTATGTTTGTTGCATAAAATTTGGTTCAGGCATTTATTACTTTTCGGTTATTTGTGAATTAAGAAACGTTTTATGAAAAACATTTCAAAATGTTACTTGTTTATGAAATGAATTCCGAAATGGTGTAAAGAATGTCTTGTGAAATATATATTTTGTTTGATGAATGGAGTTAAGAAAGATTATAAATTTTGGGTTTGCGAAACTTTTTTGTGAAAGAATTATGAAAAGCTCTTGACTTTGAGTATGGTTTATGAAATGTTATATGTATTGATTTGTGAAATACTTTATGAAATGCATTCTATTTGATAAATTGAGTTATGAAATGTGATTTGATTTGGTTTATAAAAGTGATTTATGATATGGATTCATTGGTTTTATGGAAATAATTGATTTATGAAAGGCTATGTTTTGGTTTGTGAAATCAATTGTGATAGGGATTAGTCAGGGTTAAGTGCTACACGATGATGTATGTCTCGTGTGAGCCACTTCTAGGGCCTTGTATCATTGATATTTGTTGATCAAGGGCTAAGTGCTACATGGCGACGCGAGTATTGAGAGAGCCACCTTTAAAGCCTTGAGTTGGATATTGAGCATAAAATTAATCATTGATGTGTGATTTGAGATTGATTTATGGACTTGCCTATTAATGTTTGAATTATGGCGGTGGATTAAATGAGTATTTCTTATTTGTTTTTATGATTTATATAAAGCTTTATTGAAATGAAATAACTCATTTGATTTGATATTAATATTATATTTTCAGTTTGAAGTATGAGTTTTTGGTATTGCTTTCTATATATATGCATAGTAATTGCTTGATCTATTTAGAAGAGATGTCTTACTCACTGAGCCATTGCTCATTCCATTTGTCTTTAATGTTTTTCAGGTTTTCGGCTAGTGGATGATAGTGGGGGAGCGCTATTGACGAGTACTTTTGGGAGTTATATTTTTTGTACAAACTTAGTTGTAATTGACTGAGTTGAGGTTACTGGATTTAGTTGTTGGTTGGAGTTGTACATATTTTTTTGATCGATTATAGAAATTATGATTTTATAACAAACCCGTTGATTTATCAAATATATGTTTGTGGACGGAGATATATATTTTGATAATAGGTTGTTGGTTTTTAGTTAATGCTACGTCCTTTGCGTGGAAGAACGAATAACCGTGTCATTCCCGATTCTTTTGATTTTGGGGTGTGATACTGTCACATTATTTAATATGAAAATTTTAATAATCAATCTTGGGGTCGATTTGTGTCATTTTCAAATGAATCATTTCGGGAAATGATTTTGTTTCGTGCTGGGTCTCACTCCCAGTGGACCCATATGAAGCTTAGCACAACAGTATTTTGATTGACTTCTTACAGGATAGAGGAGAAAGAAAAGTTCCAAGATACTTCCTAGCCTAAAAGGTCCACCAGCAACCAGGTACCTTCCAGGGGGTTACCTAGAAACAACCCGATATGACTTCGAAGCAGGGGCATAGGAAGTATCTTCAAGAAAACCCTTCAAGAAAAGAAAAGTAAGAAGAGAACGAAGAGAATACCTGCTGGTATATCCATTGGCCGTCAATGGAAATTTGGCTTCCCATTTGCGGGAGCGCCCTGCATTGCAGCCCCCTCTCAATTGGCCTACCCGGATGCACATTGCCTTAGGAGTAGCTAGAGGGCTCTCGTATCTTCACGAGGGTTGCAGTCTTCAGATAATTCACTGTGACATTAAGCCTTCAAACATTTTGTTGGACGAGAACTTCAAACCTCTCATTGCGGACTTCGGCTTGGCAAAATTCATGATTCATGAAGATTGGAACCAGCAGCTCCAGAAGTTGAAAAGCGCTGGGGCACCCCACCAAATGGCTGAAACTGAAGCAGTGAACAACCATGAGAGGTCTTTTTGGGCTCTGGAAAGATCAGCAGAATTATGCAGTACCTTTCGATTATGTGGTACTTATGGATACATGCCTCCGGAGTACGTGATGCGAGGGGAATTATCGGCAAAGAATGATGTCTTCGCATTCGGAATGGTGCTCCTCGAGCTCGTCTCTGGTTTCAAGGTTCTTGATCTTTTGTCGGATCGTGCCAGAAAAGGAATCAATGAATTCGAGTGGGTGAAATATCGTCTGGAACATAACGAGTTGGGAGGTCTGATTGATCCGAGCTTGAGGGGAGACTATGATGAGAATGAGGCTAAGAAATTAGTTAAACTGGCTCTCTTCTGCATCCAATCTCCACCAACAAAACGACCCACGATGTCAGAGGTCGTCCGAATTCTCAAAGGAAGCTGCTTAGATGAAAGATGGGAGAGTGAAAAAGAGGGGCTAGCAGTTGATATCAGGCAAACTAGTTCTCAACCTTGCGGCACCGTCACTGACTCTGCATCACATCTTGATCCAGAGGAGCTGTCAGGACCGAGATGTTGTCTTTGTCCTGCAAGCGAGCAGACTTAGCATTTTAAATTTATTATAGTCATGCACTGGTCGAGAGAGTCGCGCTTCAGTTTTCTCTTGATTTTGTTTCTTCAATGTGTTGTTGTCATCACTGTCATTAATTGAGAATTTTAAACATCATCAGTCATTTCAATGACAGCGAACCACTTGGTATAATTTGTCCGTAACCAAAGATACAAACAAAAGTCACATGTAGAGATGCTGAAATAGCTAAAATAGCAGCTAATACGATTCAGGACCAGAGTCTTTAGTAGCTCGAGCAGCTTAGAGTCATTCAAAGACATAAGCAGACGTTAGAGTCATTCACTTATATTTGTAGGAGTCGGGTTGTGACCAGTGTCTACATTATATCATTCATTACTAGCAAGCGTAATATTTGCGTTGTAACTTACCAATAAGAGCCAAGGAAGCTGCAAAATTCAAAATGGTGACGTAGTGACTACATTATTTCCCGCAACATGTACTATTGACCTTAGAATGGCTGCCGGTGTAGAAAATTTATTGCACTGACTTTGCACATAATAATACACCTTCGATCTTCATCTGTATCAACTTATCCAGATCTAAAACAAGGAAACAAGAGGAAAAAGAAAGGCGAGTGATTAGTTTTGTCATTGGGTCGTGGGGAGATGGTGTTCAATTTCCAGACCTTCAGTTTCTGCGGTCTCTGAAAATCAGATTAGTCAACTGTCCAATCCGAATTTGAGAAACAGGAACAGCTAACAGATTTTCCGGTCTTGGACGATGTAGTTCCATTAAGAAGAAATGGAAGTGCAGATTCTTTGCCAATGAAGAGCCCAAGTCTGACCCTATAACATATCTAGTTGAACCCATTTTTATTTAAAAGCTTAAATCAATGATTTATGGGTCAATTAGGATATATTAATTACTCCACATTATACAACATTCTCGACGTGGGACTTCTTTCGTCTAACACCCTCACATGTGCACTTTAACGAATCTCCCCTCACGTATGAGCCACTTGCATTAGGCCAGCTTTCTCTTACCAAGTATTCTTCTGCACTAACATTATCTCGATTCGAGACTCTCCACTTTGGCTAGGCCAAGTTTGGCAAGATGTCGGTGAGGACAACATTAACCCTTCAGACTCCACCTCAATTGCCTTTACCCAACCAAGCTTGGGGGAGGCTGGGGACACCATTTTCCACCTCGATTGAAGAGTCAGATTCGAGATTCTCCTTCATTGACATATTCAAACTCCACCTCAATCGACTTAACCTAGCCAAGCTTGGTGAGAAGCTGGGGGACACCATCTGTCACCTAGATTAGGGAGTCACATTCGAGATTTTTCTTCCTTTAGATATTTAGACTCCACATCGATCACGTTGGCCTAGCCAAGCTTAACAAGAAGCCAGGGGACACCATAAGCTATTTTGATTAGGTAGTCACATTTGATATATATATATATATATATATATATATATATATATATATATAATTTTGGATATTTACCGGGCACTGATACATAGAGGGAGTGGGCCACCAATGCTATGATATCGCTTGTTGAGTCGACACAACAGAGACCAATACCTTCGTAGGGGAGATCACCAATAGAGAGTCGAAGTCTAAGGTTGTCAAGATATTTAGTTTGACTCATTATCTTCAATAAAAAATTTAAGCCAATAAGTTGTGGATCAACTATGATTATTAATTACTTCACACCATACCTTCATCCATGGCCTGAACAATGAAGGTTGCCTCCTATCATCCAATGATTGAATTGAAGCTAGTATTGCTATAGCGTTGGCAAGCTAGGTTTCAGTTCAGTCCCCACAATCTGGAAATTGCTCAAGCACCCGTACTGTTTTTGTCTCCTCCAATATCGAAACTCCTTTATTCATGACCAAATGATGATAGACTCCATGATTAGGAGAAATCATTTCTAGATCAGTAGGAATAGTTTTTTGCCTGAGCGAGCATGATTAGAGTTCATTTTGCCTCATCAAAGATCCTATCACACGTATTAGCACTGCTGAGGAATATTCCAAGTGAAGTTCCAAGTACAGTCCAGAAAAATATGTAAAGTCAAAGAATATCTTCTCTACGAGCAGAAGTGCGATAACAAAGATTTTAAGCACACAATGCGAGTAATGGAGGCAACAGGCATGATGACTCAGATAAACGTGATCTGGGGACTTAGAAGTTCCAAGAACCTGATGAACGTATAAGGGGAACGATAATTGAAATCTGGAAGCTAAATTTTACAGCAAAAGCAAGAGAGATGACGTTAAGCAGTCTCTGATGAAGATGGAGAAGGCAGAATGGAGTAGTAGGGAGTGCTACACTTGGTCTCGCACAGATTCCAATCAAAATCCAACTGAGAATCAACTTCACCGGGAATCCTCTTATCATGACATGAGTTCTCAAGCGTGCTGACCACATCGGACATTTTTGGTCGCTTTGCCGGGTTCATGCATACACAGAGCAATGCCAATTGGAGAACGCACTCTGCTTCATCCTTTGAGTAGCTTCCCTGCAATTTGGAATCGATGATTGTTTCCAAGCTGTTGTCTTCCACTAATTCACTCATCAAATCAACTGGGTGAAGACCTCCAATTCCATTATCAGAAAGCTGCTTTCCTGTGATGAGCTCGAGAAGTATATACCCATATGCATATACATCAACCCTCCACGTACACTTGCCCGTAGTTAAGTACTCCGGAGCGACATACCCTGTATGTGCACGCACAGCGCTGTTGACGTAAGTATCATGGTAGCGTTGTGGGGATATACAACGCCTGTGTCTAGGGGACCATTCGACAGGTCTGCGGTCGATGGACCATTTGACAGGTCTGCAGTCCATGGACCATTCCACGTTTCCCACCACAATATCCGTCTCATGCATGATTCTGGTCAGGCCCAAGTCTCCTAAAACTGGCTCGAATTCCTCATTCAATAATGTGTTTGAACAACTCACGTCACGGTGGATGATGCTTGGATGACATTGATCATGCAAGTGCGCTAGCCCCCTCGCAACTCCTAAAGCTATTCTCATCCGGATCGACCAATCAATCGGATGGATGACTCGCCGTCCTAAGTGGAAGTTTAGACTTTTATTAACCATAAATGGATAGACTAACAAGCGCTCTTGCTCCGTATCGCAAAACCCAACCAGGCTCAACAAATTTGGGTGTGGAGCAATCCCTGCCACTTCCACTTCAGTCCAAAACTGTTTCAGTGAATGTTCAGAAAGTTCCCTCATTCGTTTTATCGCAACTATAGAACCATCGGCCAAGCATCCTCTGTAAACCGGTCCAAACGCGCCTTCACCCAACATGCTGTTGGGGCTAAAGTTTCCCGTTGCAACTCGAAGTTCATACACAGAGAACCTCCTCAGCAGTTCCCTAAAGCGAGCTGTTGAACCAACTTCTATACTGGGACTGGAGAGACTGAACGTGCGCAAATTGAATACCATCTCTACTAGAATTTGTCAAGCTCTTCTTCTCAATCCACCACAAATCTGACCTTTCCGCGCTTATTGCCTAACCAGAAAACTCAAGTCACCTTTTGCATCACAAGGGGAACCGAAACAAATGATGTTTGGGAAACTTCATTAATCCCCAAAGGCTCAAGATCAAGTCTATGGCTAACTCAACAACACCAACAGAGGACGAGAGAAGAATTTGGAGTTAGACATATACTGTCTCGCTGTTGGAGGAGATTCTATGTTGAAGGGTTGCAAATTAGAAGGTGATATGGCACAGGTAGGTCTTTCGTATGGAACTTTGGGGACTTAGTAGAATGCTGTTCGGCTTTTTGTTCTCCATGTTTATATACGCACTTTTCTTGGCCGTCACAATGGACTGGTCACCAAGATATTTCCTCGAAGCTTCCAATGAGATTCCTAGCTTTGAAGAAAGTCAAACCGACGACGAACGGGATCATTTCTTGGTTTTTTCCTGATAATGACTGAAGCATGGTTATCCTGTTAGTTCATTATGGTTACTTGGAAATTGAAAGATCGACCAGTTTTATACTAGAATAAAAAAATTGAATCTAGAAGTGGAATTTTTGCAAACACTCAAAATAAAGTCTACTGGTATGTTGAGAAAAGTCTCACATCGGAGAATTGATATGTCGTGGAGTAATCGATATAATTTAGTTAGCACATAATTCATTAATATAAGCTTTTGAGTAAAGTTTGGTCCATTAGATATATTGATGGGCTCGGACTTTCTTCCTTGCAATCTATTGAGCTTTTTGTTGCGTGCTATGTGCTTGATTGGTGGTCCACTCCCATGGTTCTGCTAGGCTCCTAATACTAACGTTATTCTCTAACAGTATACTTGAGGAAGAATTAGCGAAACTTCGAGACAAATGGAATATCTCTCTTGCGGAAGCTGCAAATGGACTTTGGAATGTTAAGATTGCCCCACGCCGATGGTTGATCGGTGGTCCACTTCCAAAGCTCGATGATCGTGGTGGCCCACTTCCATGGTTCTACACTTGAGGAAGAATTTATGAAGATAGCGAAACTGAGGCAAAAAAATCTCTCGTCCTCATTCATGAAGATAGCCAAACCTCGAGGCAAATGGAATCTCTCTCTCTTGCGGAACCTGCTAACGGACTTTGGAATGCTAGGATAGCCCCACCATTGACATAATTTCCCCCAATTCGCGCATTTTCTTGTCATTTTATTCACATGAACTAAATTGGGGCCTAGTCGTGAGAAAGAGATCATTACAATGGGAGTAACTTCGACTCTGATAGACATAGAGTAGAGACTTGTGTATGCACAAGCAAAGCTCTTGCTCTTCAGATACTGAAATGAAGAGGTACCTCAGAATCAATGACAACAAAGAAGAAAATCATCAAACTTGGATGATCGATTATCTTATAGAGGAATTGAATCTGTAAAAGACGGCGTTCAGTTTCCGGAGCTTCGGTTTCTCTAATCTCCATGGAAGACGACGCAACACTCCCCAAAAGTTCCTCTCTACCGGAACTTCAAGTCGCAATGCACAATTTTAGTGCCGGCAATGTCTTGGGAAAAGGTGGATTAGGCATGGTTTACTTGGGACGCTTGGCCGATGGCTCTCTAGTGGCGGTAAAAAGAGCAAGGAAACTCTCACAACGTGTTGATAAGAAGTTCCAAAGAGAAATGGAAGTTTCAAGCAGGTTTATGTGCATCCCAACATGCTATGCCCGAGGGGCTTTTGCAGGTTTATGTGATTGTTGATCCGACTTGGATGATCGGTTTCTCTAATCCCCATGGAAGACGACGCAACACTCCCCAAAAGTTCCTCTCTACCGGAACTTCGGAAACGCCCACCGCCAAGCACTCACGAACGTCTTCACGTCAACCGCGGCGCTTCAAGACTTCTCTTCACTGGACATGGGCGACACAAAGACCAGCTCTGCACGCATCAACAATGCCCACGGCACACAAGCACTCACGAAAAGGCGCTTCAGGACAAGAAGTCCAACTTCAACAGGAAACATATATATATAAACTCCATGCATGTCCGTGGACTTTCCAATATAAGACTTTTCAGTGGCCGAACTCCAACACATATTAGGAGAGCTAATTTCGTATATTTCGTTTCCCCTGTTTTCTTTGCTGATTCTAATTTCATATCAGGAAATATCCAATTTAACGTATTCAGACCTCCACACAAATAATTTCGAGTCGGGTTTCGTTCACGGACTCAAACTCGAGATATATTTTCAACAGCCAGTGCAGAGCATTGGGAGCAGCAAAAGGGATTGCGCACCTACACGATCAAGGTAAGGCCAAGATCGTGCATCGTGACATTTGTGTAACAATTTGGATGCCGTGATTGGAAATTTTGTCTTGGCCATGATCATGCATGAGAGAAACGCGGGGGATGGGACTATTGAATGGCACACGCGGAAGCACCTCATGGGATTCTTGTCCTCTGGCTGAGGAGAAGATTCTTTAGATTCTGACTGTGGATAACCTATCGCCGCTATGAAGATGTTCATGTCAACGCCATTGTCGGTCTCAGAACAGGTTTATTGCCCTGGTGTACCTCCACGTAGGAAAGTGCACCGAATGATGTTTTCGGCTACCGGAACATGCTTCTGGTGCTCATCTCTGGACAGCGAACCTTCAATCTTGATCTACTACAAAATGACCGAGATCTCACGCTGAGAGATTGGGTTAGCAGATGCATGAAGGAGAATGAGTTGGCGAGAGTGATCGATCCCGATTTGCTCTCACAACTATGTAGAAGGAGCAGAGGAACTGGTCAGAATGTTATCGTTGTGTTTGGCTTGCGGTTCATCTGTCCTTGCCGAGATGTCTGAGGTGGTTAAAATGCTCGAAAATCTAGTGTTTGGGCACGATATTAGTAGCTGTACTAGTCGGACTGGAAGCAGAGTTAATTAGACTCCTTACTCCTCTTCCCCTCCTTCCCTGGAGACCATTCCAGGAGCAGCAGTGCACGCGAATGCTACATCTGCAAACCGCATCACCACCATCTTTAACCTTCAATAAAAAGTTCGGATTCTAGCCTTCTACGCTCCTTGCCCTAAATTTTATTATCTTCATTTCCTCTTCCATTTTGTGACATCGTTCTGTAATATCATTCTCTGCCAATCTTTTGAGACGTGCATAGCACATGTGCTTATCTAATGACCTGCCAGCTTCAAAATTTTTCCTAGAATTGAAAGGTGGAAAATGCAACACGACAACCACGGTGGACCCAAAGGAAAGGACTCCCTCGACCTCATAGAAGATTGGTCCAGTAAGCCGATGATGCTACTTCAGTGAAGTTCATTTTAGTCAATTATTGACCTGGTCAATACTTATATCCCGGTCATCTCCATTGGCCGCTCTTTTTGCTTTTCTTATTTCCCTTTTTCTGATCAACACTAAAACCAGGACGACCCAACCATCAATTATTGATAGAGTCAAGTCAAGACAGCAAGTCGTTTGGCAGCAACGAAGAAGAGCCATGGCAATTTCCTGGTAATCTGAGGCATCACCTCTCTTCATATTTTACAGTGTGAGGCACAAATCCCAGAAAAATCTTCACCAAATTAACAGAACAACAAAAACACGATGCCCAGAAAGGCAGATTCTCGCCGCAGCCAAACTGCCAGGAGCGGTAGTTCTTCTCATCATGTGGTCAATGTCGAAATGACCGATGGCAGCAGCGCAGGATCAGTCGACGGGATAGGTTTCTGCATCTTTAGAGTGCCCCAAAGCCTGTCCGAGATCAATCAGATGGCGTACCAGCCGAACACGGTCCCGATCGGCCCCTACCACCATGGAAAGCCACAGTTTCAAAAAATTCAAGAGCACAAGCAGCGATTCTCCATCGATCTGCTCAATCGAACAAAGCAAAAAAGGGACAAGCTAAAGCACTTTGCCGAGGCTTTAAAACCAACGGAGGAGAAGATAAGAAAGTGCTATTCCGAGGCCTTAGCTTTCAAAAGTGATGAGCTCATCGAGATGATGGTACTTGATGGTTCCTTCATCATCGAGCTGTTCTGCAAGTACTACCGTAAATTGGCAGGCCACACCGATCCGGGGCATGACCCCTTACTGACCGAGCCATGGGTGTTGCCTTTCCTCATGCGGGATCTCGCCAAACTTGAGAACCAGATTCCTTGGTTCGTTCTTCAACATTTGTTCGATCTGACGTTGGGGTCTTGGAATGAGAGCCATCCTTCTCTGTCCGATCTCGCCTTGAGTTTCTTCAACCGCATGGTTCAAAGACCAGATAATGACTTGAAGAAGTACTCCGATTGGGAAGGAGAACATCTGCTTAATTTCCTCCGTTTGACTAACAACCCAGATTCTCCAGAAACAAAACAAAAACCAAATAAATTCCTTCGCCTGATCCAGCCCGCGAATAAGCTCCACCAGGCAGGCATTAAGTTCAAGCCGACCCATTGTGCAAGCTTCATGGACATCAAATTCAGCAACGGTGTCCTGGAAATTCCAGTACTTAAATTCGATGACTTTTTGAGTTGTCTGTTCCTCAATTTCGTCGCATTTGAGCAGTGCCACCGGGCCTCCTCCAAGCATGTCACAGCTTATGCCACTTTCATGGCTTGCCTCCTTAACACACCGGCAGATGCTGGGTTACTGTGCGACCGCAAGATCATCGAGAGATATTTTGGGACGGATGAGAAAATTGCCCATTTCTTCAGCAACATCGGGAAAGATGTTGTGTTCGACATCCACAAAAACTATTTATGCCAGGTGTTCCAGGATGTGAACACGTATAACGAGAAGGACTGGCGAGTGCATTGGGCCAGCTTCAAGAACACCTACTTCAACAGCCGGTGGTCTCTCATTTCAGCTGTAGCAGCATTCCTACTTCTTGCTCTCGCGGCAATTCAGTCTTTCTTTGCAGTACGTACTTATTACCAACCTCAGTCCAGTCCCAATCCTTCCAGTCCCAATCATCAGTGAAGTTTAATGTATGATCTACATCTGCTGCTCATAGTTGTTGGTCACTAGTCCATATTTCCGACCTCCTTCATGATTCAATCATTAGTAATGTTAACCCTGTATATTCATTTTGTACAAGGTGTTTAAGGGGTGAAACTGAGTTTTGGCTTCCAATGAATACATACTACTTATAATTCTTAGAGTTCATGAGACTAGAATGAGTTGCAGCTCAATGACTTACTTTTACATCACCAGGCAAAGGAAGCATGTAGTTTCTGGAATGAATAGCAGAATTTGAGTAATTACTACAATGTATTCGCATAAACTTGGGAAAACTCTGCATTAGCTTTCTATAATCCTTTGTCAATCAAACAAAAAGTATATCCGTGCCAATGCTAAGTCATCAAGATATAACATTTGAACTTCTTTGACCTATAAAGCCCTTTAATTATTTTAGGCAGAAGGAAATATAAAAGTGACAAGGTGACAGAGGTAAAAGAGGAGTTCACCGAAACATTTTGAAGGTGAACTGCGCAATAAAAGTTTAGTACATCCGGTATAGATATAAAGTACAATTCTAATAAAAAAAACAACAGGCAAAATTACAGTGATTTAAGGGAAAATTTCAAAAGGACCCGAAGTGGAGTCATTTTCTTAAATAAGGACCTGAAATGGACATTATCTCAAAGAAGGGTCTGAAGTGGCCAAATCATCTCAAATAATGACCTGAAGTGGCCAAATCGTCTCAATTAATGACCTTTGGGCGACTGGTGATTATTCCGTCGTCAAAGAAGAGGTATTTTAGTAAAAAAATTCTAAGTATATTTTTTTGTTTTTTTGTTTTACTTTCTTTTTCTTTTCCTTTTTCTTTTTTCTTTTTCCTTTTCTCTTCTCCCCTCCCAGCCATCACCGCGCTTGGCCACTGGCCTTAGGCAAGGGTCGCCCTTGCCGACACTAGCAAGGGCAACCCTCGCCTGCTTGGGCGAAGGCGGCCTCAACTTGGGGCCGGCGACCTCCGCTGGCCCCATCGATGGCCTGTGAAGGAAAGAGAGGGAAAAAAAAAGATAAGGAAAAGGAAAAAATAGAAAAAGAAAAAAAGAAAAAAATTCAAAAAAGTAAAAGACGAAAATATCCTTTGGCCGATGAGATTATGTCCTTATTTGAGATTGATATGGCAACGTCATACCCTTATTTGAGACAAGATCCACTTCAGGCCCTTATTTGAGATATGGTCCACTTCGGGCCCTTATTTGAGAAAATGACTTCACTTCGGACCCTTTTTTGGAATTTTCCAATGATTTAATTACAATTGAACCAAAGTTTGGTGCTTGGCTTCTAGTGAAGATAATGTCAACCATTGGGGGGTGTTAGAACTGAACCGAGCCAAACCGAAATTTTTGGTTTCGGTTTGGGAAATGAAAAAATTATTGTTTTTCTTTTAAATTTTGGTTAGGTTAATCAATCCAAACTGAAAATAGCCCATCTTCTTAATATTACAATCCACACAATCTCTAATTTTTCACTAAACCTCTTCTTAATATTGCAAAAAAGAAAACCGAAAAACCGAATCAAATCGGGCCGAGCCGAGCTGGGTCTTCAGTTTGGGTTATATTTGGTTCAATCGTAGTTCGGTTCAAAGCTAATGCACACCCAAACGGTTCGGGTTTTCAAAAAATGCAAACCGAATCAAACCATTGACCGCCCCCCCCTACGTTATATAGATTTCTGTTTTCATGAGCTTAGTTAGGAATTTTCCTCTTATAGCTCTTTTCAAACTTGGACTCCTCGAGGTCCGGTAATCCACTGCACTGATTGATTCACACCACCCCACTATTAAGATTTCTCCAATTTTCAAGTCTGTTTGGTGGTTGCTCATACAAATCTCCACTTGACTTTCTTTCCCAAACTAGCGAAATCCATATTGATCTTTCCTTCTTTTTTTAAAAAATTGCCTCGGCCAGATAAACCTTCAGCCCAAAAATCCACTCCCGATCAGATTTGGTCTTTCCTAATCCGATCAATCTCTATCTTTGTTCAAATTGGTTGGTCAATGTTTATCTTTTTAATCTTAATCAACCGTAACTTTCAAACTTGATCTTCACGTATGAATTTTGCTATCTTACTCATATCTTTTCACCAAGCTTAAATCGCAGCTAACCACTCTTAAGAGAGATTCTAGTGTGCGCTAGAGACCATGTGATTTTCATGTGACGAAGGCATGTACTCGCTACGCGGCATGTGAGAGTGGCATGTGTTAGTCCTAAAATGCACAGAAATTTAATATGGATCCTTAATGTAAATAATATTTTTGTTTAGTAATCAGGGTCGATCCATAATTTTTATGCAGTAAATAACTAAATAGGATAGCAAATATTTAAGTGTCAACATTGATAAACCTGAAAGAAAATTGGAATGAATGGGGTGAGCAACCATAGCTCAATGAATAGTACATATCTCTTTTAAGCATATCGAGAATCCACTATGCATATTTATAAAGTAATACTAGAAATTCAGTAATCTCAAATCCAGTATATAATTTATGTACAATATAAAAAACAAGCTATAAATTTTTCAATAGAGATTATTGACGTATACTGACATAATGAACAGTAAATAAAGCCAACGTGAAGAGTTAAATATGGAAATACTCTTTCAATCCACAATTACAAATCAAACATTAGTGGTCAAACCTGTAGGCTAATCTCTATCAAACCAAACCTCAATGGTCTATTCAATTGACTAATTTCGTATGCTCAATATCCAACTCAAGGAACTAGAGGTGGTTCTCAAGGGACTCATGCCATTATGTAGAACTTAGCCCTTGAGAAGTACATACCAATAGTATAAGCCTCTAGAGGTGGCTCCACGGACTCACATCACCATATAGCACTTGGTCCTTGACCACAAGGTTCTCGAGGTGGCTTATGAAAGATTCTCATCATCATGCAGTACTTAGTCATTGACTAACGTATATTAATAGTACAAGATTTTAGAAGTGGTTTGCATTATCGTATAGTACTTAGTCCTTAACTAGTATGTATACCTAGAAACCAAACCTCTCATTGGGTTCATAGCGACAATGAGCATCAAATCATCATCTTCCAATAATCCACAAAACTAATCATGAATTCATATCCTAAAGAAGAATACATTTCACAAATCAAAATCTGCATCTTTTCACAACAGAATGCCTTTCATAAATTAGTATCACAAATTAGTACACATACCATATTCCGATCTCTTTCATAAAGCATTTTTCAAATCAATTCACAACAATTCGATTCACAATCACTTCCAAAAATGCTTTGCCATGCTATTTCAAAACAATAAAAAAGGTAATGCCCAATTTGGACTTATTCAATAATTATGCTCTTAACATCACTTTTTCCCATTTCATAAATTTCTGGTCATGCCATGTCATCCATACTCATGATAAATATAATCCCTATCACTTTCAAATACGTCACAAATTTTGGAGAAGAGATAAGACCACTTACCTAGGAAGCCTTAACAAAGCTATCTTAAGAAGACAAGCTCTAATCCTATCAATTAAATGAGAGACAATATTAAAATTAGGAAAACACTACCTTAACTAATAAGCAAACCTTAAGGCTGCGTATGGTCTTTTAGATTCGGATTATGATATGATAGGATAAATGGGGATTTGAAATCCTCCACATATCCCTGGATTGTAAAAATATCCTATTATATGTTTGGTGTAACCTAAGATAAAATTTGGAATTTGAAAAAAAACTTTGAAAACATGCAACCTAAGATAATATTGAAAATATTTGAAAATCCTTCTCATTTGAAAATCTTTAAATTTTTTTGAAAATCTCATCTTTGACTTTGCTCCTCAGACTCAAACCCTCTTGAGCACATCTCTGGGAAGTCGACCTAGAGAGCATGATGTCTCTCAATCGATACGAGTTCACGTAATTTTGGGACGGCCTCATGAACAACAAAAGGCACTTCGTATGGCCGAACTCCATTGCCAAAGAAAGCGGCTAAGAGAGGCGACAGTGGAGAAGGTGTGCGTCATGGGATGGCCCGCACAAGGAGGTTCTACACGACGGTGCCATTATAGCATTCTTAATGCACAGTGAGTGGGACTCCATGCTTGAGAGTGTGGTCACTAGGAAGCTGATGTTGTGCTGGTCGTTCTTTGTCAATCAGTAGGAAAACAGCCCGCTCATAAGTCATGCATGAAAGGTTCTCAATGTGAAGAGCGTATGCGACTGGGGTGGAAATGATGATCTATGCAAACTCGGCACGATGATCGTCTTTAGACCCTTTTTCACTCACTCATCGGAACACGATTGCTGCCCGGAGGTGATGACCTGTGTGGTCGGAGGTGAAGGCAATCGTGCGGTGGTCGGAAGTGACGATGATGTTAATATTGGTGGTGGTCCTTAGGCAGTGCCAAGAAGCAACATCTGATTTATCACTTTATCACTCCGTTAAGAAAAAATATATGAATTTTTTTAATTATTTTTAAAATTTTATATCCAATCTGGAGAATGTCACCAAACACCGATAAAATAATTTGTTATCCTATTTGGATTCAAATCCGGCTATCAAACGTAACCTAATTGCCGACAAAATGACTCCTACACGCTAGTCATGGCCATGGTTCGAACCGACGTTCCGGTTCGTGGCAAGTATGAACCGACGGTTCCGGGCGGTTTCGGTTGCGGTTCATAATTTTTGTTTTCTGTTTTTTTTCTTTTTCTTTTCCTTTTCTTTTTTTTCTTTTCTTCCTCCGCCCGCATCCGAGGCCGGCGGAGGTCGCCGGCCCAGCGAGGCCCCGCGAGGCCGCCTATCAAACGTAACCTAATTGCCGACAAAATGACTCCTACACACTAGCAAGCCCTAAGTGGTTATTCAAAGCTGTCTACAACACAGGAGCAAGTTTATTCAAAGCTGTCTACTACCCAGGAGTTTGTGCGGTTAACTTTAAAAATTTGTTTCGAATAAACCGTACTCCAAGTAAATTTTCGTTAGACCTCACAATTCCATAATGAACTATCATTTTTATATAATATCATAGCTGAACAACTTTAAAATTGGACCCCGCTATTCAAATTCACATAAATTTAAATTTATGTTCTAATGCCAAAAAATACTCAAATTAGATGAACAAAGGACTAATGGTTGTAAAACAAAATTAATCCGACTTGACAAGGTGTTCGAGGCGTGCACTCTTTTTCCTTTTTTTTTTTTTCCCTTTTTTCTTCACTCCCTTTCTTTCTTTTCTTCTTCTTTCTTCCCCTTTTGTGGAGCTTTATAACTCGTATTGGTATAACTCGGTCTTTATTTTAGCTTAAAGCCCACCACTTTTGACCACTTCAAAAGAGCCAACCGTTTCGAATAGGACCCACAATTTGGGTATTTAGTGTGGAGCCATGTTGAGGTGGATCTAATTGCCGCCCTTTGTAACATGAAATAAGAAAATAAAATAGTCATTTCATGGGAAAGAATAGGGCATGTTTTCTTTTGGCCAGGGAAAGAAACAGAGCATGAATCACATTGGAGTAGATATCCTATTAATATAGTTCGCATGATTGAGTAATTATAGACAAAGTTACGCGAGAGACCGTAAATGTTAACTACTTAAAATTAGAAAACCATATTTGAACATCGATTAAAACTCGCAAAGTCATTTATCAATTAATGTGGTGTGCTAATCTTTATCTCTATATCCAGAACATGTTCACTTGTCCAATTAAAAATCCCGTTCCTTTATTAATCCGAGTCATGTTGAAAGGCTAAGATTAACACACAAAATTGATACATTAAGAATTATTGCAAGTTGGAAGTAGGTAGCTCAACAAGTGCGCCCTATTAAACACTTACCCAAAATCTATTCCGTTGTTTAGTATACATAATATAATAGTCAATCTTGAGTCAAGATGTATGTTTTTTTAAATGAATTAACCTAGGAAATGAGTTTGTCCTTGTTGGAGTTGGCGAATACTTCGGGGACTCTTGTTTCTCATACCAGACACGCCTACATGAGCTTAAGAAAATCGAAGTATGATCCGACGATATATGATTCCTGCGCACGAAATGCGGGGGTTCGGGGGTCCCGCTGACTAGACAGCGGGCGGGGGTTCCGCTCCCCGGTGAGCGGATGGCGGTCCCGCCCGCCAGTGAGCGGGTGGGGCCAGCGCCCTCGAAACAATATCCGTTTTTTGGCTTATGTTTTAAGCTGATCCGTTTGTTGTGGGTTTAAAGGGATTCGGATAGGCTTGGGCTTTGGATCCATTTTAAATTTTATATATTGTACTCGTATGAGAGGTCATTATAACAAGTGGTTGTGATTGTAAAACCTAAATATCATAATTGAATCACTTTACAGAACGTAACCCTATTCTGAAATAAACCTGAATAAATTTGTTTATCAATTTTTCTATTATTTATGTAATTATTTTGATTCAGTTCGGATATAACCCCATCAGTCCTCATGCTGAGTCCCATTACAAGTTAGATTAAGAAGGTATTTTGATTCGACTGTTTATAAAATAATCCTGAGAAACTTCCTGGCACCTTCCTGGGTGTTGTTTACCCAAGAGACAACCCAATATGAAGTCAAACCGGGGGCTTGTGCTCCATTAAGATCAAGCCATCACACTTTCAGAGCTTGAATCTGAAGTCTGAATTAGAAAGCATCAGAGAAAGATGGTTTTCAATCTTTCCACCCCTGATCTCTCCGAGGATGACAACGCTTCCGCTCAGCTTTCGCCGCCTGCCTCGCCGTCGTCCACCGCCGGTTGCGTGCCGATCGGCAGGAGCTTCACCAGAGCTATCACAGCCCCGGGCAGAGTCACTGAAGGCGGTTCTCTTAAGTTCACTGCCCCTGCCGTCGGGGTTTCTTCTCGGAGGCAGGAGGAATCCTCCGACGACTTGGATCTCCGATTACTTCGGCCTCAGGTAAAGCTTCGAAAATTTACTCCCCATGAACTCAAAGCTGCGACAGGCAATTTCAGGGAAGAGAATGTTCTGGGCCTATGTGGATCTGGTAAGGTCTACAGGGGACGTTTGCCTGATGGATCTCGGGTGGCGATAAAAAGATGTGCACGCCCGTTTGGCCATGCCGAAGTGCAGGTTGGGGATATGGCCAGGCACCAGAATGTGATCCAGATGCTCGGCTTTTGCGATTCGAAGGCAACAGCAGAACTAGGAGAGTACTTGCTGGTATATCAATTGGCCGTCAATGGAAATGTGGCTTCCCATTTGGGGGAGCGCCCAGCATCGCAGCCCCCTCTCGATTGGCCCACCCGGATGCAGATTGCCTCAGGAGTAGCGAGAGGGCTCTTGTATCTTCACGAGGGTTGCAGTCTTCAGATAATTCATCGCGACATAAAGACTTCAAACATCTTGTTGGATGAGAACTTTGAACCTCTCATTGGGGACTTCGGCTCGGCGAAATTCATGAATCATAAAGGTTGGAACCACCAGTTCCAGAAGTCGAACAGCGCCGGGGCACCACACCTGACGGCTGAAGTAGAGAACAACCATGAGAGGGCCTTATCAGCTCTGGAAAGATCAGCAGAATTATGCAGTACCTTACGACTATGTGGTACATATGGATACATGCCTCCGGAGTATGTGAGGCGAGGGGAACTCTCGGCAAAGAATGATGTCTTTGCATTCGGGATGGTGCTCCTAGAGCTCATCTCTGGTTTCAAGCCTCTTGATCTTTTGTTGGATCGAGCCAAAAAAGGAATCAACGAATTTGCGTGGGTGAAATATCTTTTGGAACATGACGAGTTTGGAGGTCTGGTTGATCCGAGCTTGAGGGGAGAATATGATGAGAATGAGGCTAAGAAAGGAGTCAAACTGGCTTTCTCGTGCATCCAATCTTCACCAACAGAACGACCCACGATGTGGGAGGTAGTCCGAACTCTCAAATGAAGCTGCTTAGATGAAAGACGGGCAAACGAAAAAGAGGAGATAGTAGTTGATATCTGGCAAACTGGTTCTCAATCTCGTAGCACCTTCACTAACTCTGCATCTCATCTTGATCCACTGGAGATATCAGGACCGAGGTGATTATGTCTTTGTCCTGCAACTGAGCAGCCTTAGCGTTATAAATTTGTAATAGTAATGCACTAGTCGAGAAATTCACACTTAGTTCTCTCTAGAATCGTTTCAATGCGTTGCTGTCATCAGTCGTTACTTGAGAATGTAAGAGATCACCAGTCATTTTAATGACAGTGAACCACTTGACATAATTTCTTCGTAACCAAAAACACAAACATATGCTACATGAGAGATGCAGACCTCAAAGATCTCAAAAGAAATGGGCGTGCACGGCGGAAGTTGTACAGTGCAATCAAGCAATTAGCAGGAGATTCCAGGTGAACACCCGAGTGATTGTTTCGCGCGAGACATGGTTGTTGTACGTAGAAGCAGTGTCGCTGTGGAGGAAGTGGCGTGAATGTCAGTGGTTTTATGGGATGAAAACTGCTGTTTGAGGGCTAGTACTGTCAATAAGCTAACTTAACGCGGTGTATATACTTGTTAAGGAGTATCTGGTAATGTGCTACTAGTTGTGCTAACTCCTTTTGGATGCGACAATTCGTTTCTTTTGCTTTTTGGTTGATTGATGTTACTTTGGTAGGATAGTTGCTTGAATAGAACCTTGGATGTTGTATATGTAGTGTGTGCGTGTTGATATGACGAACAAATCTATGGGCATATTAGAGTCGCTCTAACCGATTTGTTCAGTTTGCAATCACTCATTTATTTGATGCAACATCTCGATTTAAGATACGGAATCCAATCTCTTAATATCAGCGATTGTCAAATGATTATGATATGCTAATACGAACCAAAATGAAATTGTGTGATGCCATGAAAGTGTGCCCTTGAGATGCACGTGCATAATGGCTAACGATTTTATCAGGTGGGCCTTTGGTTACACACATTTGTCCATTTGAGCCTAGTTAAGAGAAAGAGAAAGAGGCCATTTCATTGGAAGTTACTATGACTCCAATAGACAGAGAGTAGAGACTTGTGTATCCATAAGCAAAGGTATAGGTACTGCACTATAGATAGTTAAATAAAAACGTACCACGGAATCAATCATTACTGATAAGAAAATCATTAATCTTGCACAATCCATTATCTTATATGTCACACCCCGACTCTAACAAAAAATAGGGGATGACACGGCCGTCTTTCCACTCAAAAGACGTAACTTTAAACACAAATTATTGTTGGTTTGTGTGTGCATAAAATAAACCAGCAAGTTTATTATAATATAAGAGTTTTTATAATCCATCAATAAGAATATGTACATCACTAAACTAACAAATAAATCCAGCAAACTTATTTCAGTCTTGTACAGCTCATACCAAAAACTTTTACTACCTAAAGTTCTCCATTGATGGAGCTCTTGCCTTACTTGCCGCTAAACGAAGAACCTAAATAACATTTAAGACAAATGGTATGAGGAACCATAACCTAGTAATTAACTAGTATAAATTTTTCTAAGTAGATTGAGCATCCATTAAGCACATATATAAAGCAATACCAAAAACTCATAATCCAAACCCAAGATATAATATATGTATCAAATTATGACATTTTATTTCAACATAGTTTTATACATGTCTGACATACTCATTTAATTCACAATCACAAATCAAACATTAATGGTCAATTCCATTAATCAATCTTTGTCAAATCACTTGCTGTTTGTAATTTGTCTAGCAGATTACTAGTGTAATCCAGTCCGAGTTGTGTCTATTAGTGTGGACAGTGGATGTAAGCTTTGTTATAAAGCCGAACCACTATATATCTTTGTGTGCTCTTGTCTCTCACTTTCATGTACTGTATCACACAATCAGTTTACATTATTTGAAACATCCATTTGACATGATTTTCATAGTGGTTGCCAATTTCCGTAAAATTATCAAAATTTTCTGAAACAACCTATTCGCCTCTTCTAGGCTGTACAGTTAGCCCCAACAAAGTTAAAAAATACTCAAAATGACGTCATTTTGAGTGGAGTTGTACAAGTCAGATTGTCGGTGTAACATGTAGAACGGCCAGCATTGACTCGGATGGACCACATTGAAAAATTATTAAAAGGTTTATAGTTACATTGATTAAATTACAAAATTTAGGACTGAATTGATAACCGTAAAATACATTTATGACTTTTTGGGTAAGGTTCCCTGCTGCTAGCTTCTAAACTTTTCATGGAATGATTGCAAGGTGGAAAGTGCAACGCAACAACCACGGGGAATCCCAAAAGAAAAAGACTCTTGACCTTGCAGATTATTGGTTAGATAAGCCAATGCTACTTCGGCGAAGTTCATTTGAGTCAATAAATAAATTCAAGTGGCACTTTGTTCTCCCCTGTGAGTTTTTTTTGCTGGGGAAGGTTTGGTACTCTCTTACTTTGAACATCCCGAAGTCCAGATAGAGCCTTTTAAGAACTGCTCACGTCCAGAAGTTCATTTAAGTCAATAAATAAATTCAAGTGGCACTTTGTTAAAAAAAAACTCAAGTGGCACTGACCTAGTCAATAAAAAACTCTCTTACATGCCGACCGTCTTCACCGCCCGCTGTTTTTGGTTTTCTCATTTCCCTTTTTCTCAGTAAAACTAAGAGCTAGACGATCCCACCATCAATTATTAATAGAGTCAAGTCAAGACAGCTAGTGCTTTGGCAGAAGCAACAAAGAGTGACGCCAATTTCCTGGTGATTTCCGGCATCACCTCTCTTTCATTTCTTACATCTACGAAGAGCACAAAAATCAGACCATCTGCGAGGTGCCAATTGCAGAAAAATCTTCAGCAAACACCACTGCCCAGAGATTTGGATTCTCGCCGCAACCAAACCGCCATGAGCAGTAGTTCTTCTCATTATGTGGTCGATATTGAATCGACCGATGGTAGGAGCCGAGGATCAGCAGACAGGATCGGTTTTTGCATCTTTAGAGTGCCTCAAAGTCTGTCCGAGATCAATCAGATGGCTTACCGGCCTAACACGGTCCCGATCGGCCCCTACCACCACAGAAACCCACAGTTTGAAAAGATTCAAGAGCACAAGCGGCGATTCTCCATCGATCTGCTCAATCGAAGGCACCAAAGTGTGGAGAAGCTACAGCACTTTGCCGAGGCTTTAAAACCAATGGAGGAGGAGATAAGAAAGTGTTATTCCGAGGTCTTAGCTTTCAACAGCGATGAGCTCGTCCAGATGATGGTACTTGATGGTTGCTTCATCATTGAGCTGTTCTGCAAGTACTCCCGGAAATTGTCAAGTCACACCGATGAAAGGCATGACCCCTTATTGACCGAGCCTTGGGTGTTGCCTTTCCTTATGCGGGATCTCGCCAAACTCGAGAACCAGATTCCATGGTTCGTTCTTAAAAGTCTGTTCGATCTGACGCTGGGTTCCTCAAATGAGAGCTATCCTTCTCTATCAGATCTTGCCCTGAGTTTCTTCAACCGCATGCTTCAAAGACCTGACCATGTCTTGAAGAAGTACTCCAATCAGGACGGAGAACATCTGCTTAATTTCCTCCGTTCGACTTTCATCCTGGATTCTCCAACAACAAAGCAAAACCAAAATAAATCCCATCGTCTGATCCAGCCTGCGAATAAGCTTGACCAGGCAGGCATTAAGTTCAAGCCGACCCATTGTGAAAGCTTCATAGACGTCAAATTCAGCAACGGTGTCCTAGAAATTCCGGTACTAAAATTTGATGACTTCTTGAGTTCTCTGATTCTCAATTTCATTGCATTTGAGCAGTGCCACAGGGACTCCCCCAAGCATGTCACAACTTACGCCACTTTCATGGCTTGCCTCCTTAACACACCGGCAGATGCCGAGTTCCTGTGCAATCGCAAGATCATCGAGAGATACTTCGGGACAGATGAGAAAATTGTCCATTTCTTCAGCAACATCGGGAAAGATGTTGTGTTCGACATCCGCAAGAACTATTTATGCCAGGTGTTCCAGGATGTGAACACATATTGCGAGAAGGACTGGCGAGTACATTTGGCCAGCTTCAAGAACACCTACTTCAAAACGCGGTGGTCTTTCATATCAGCTGTAGCTGCAGTCATTCTTCTTGCTCTGTCGGCAATTCAGTCTATATTTGCTGTGATTGCTTATTACCGACCTCCTAAGTGACGTTTAATGTACGATCTACATCTGCTGCTCATTGGTGTTGGTCATTTGTGCATGTTTCCGACCTCCTTCATGATTTCAATATCATTAGTAATGATTGTCCTATATATTCATTTGGAACATGATGATTGAGGGGTGAGACTGAATTATGACTTTCAATGAATGAAATGCTGCCCCCAATTTTTGAGTTCATAAGACTAGAATTAGTTGCAGTTCATCAACTTATGTTACATTGCCAAGCAAAGTAAGCATGTAGCTTCTGGTATGAATAGCATAATTTGAGTAATTACTGCAATGTATTGGTATAAACGTGGGAGAACTACGCATTAGCTTTCTATAATCCTTTGTTAATCAGACGATAAGTGTCAGTGTTAATGTTAAGTCATCAAGATATAAGATTTGAACTTAGTGGACCCTAAAGCCCTTTCATTTTTTGAGGCAGAAGGAAATCTATAAGTGACACGGTGACAGAGGTAAAAGAGGAGTTCGCCTAAACATCTAGTATAGATATAAACGTACAATTCTAATTAAAACATAAATGACATAATTTCATTCATTTAATTGCAAATTGCACCAAAGTTTAGCGCTTGACTTCTAGTGAAGTTAATCCATTCATGGGGTCAAGCAGAAATTTTTGTCAACCTTAGACATAGATTTTTCTCTTTCATAATCGTCGTTAAGAATTTTTTACCTTCCAAAAAAGGGATGAAGAGATCTATGGTCGTTAAAATTTTGCAATATATTCGGCCTAGTTCCTCAACTTGTTTTTAGCCAATTGAGTCCTTAAACTATTTTTTTTTTGTCGCCTTATTTATTCCATATACAATGCTCCTTCAACTCATTCTATATTTAAAATAAATAAATAGAGCGAAAAAAAAGCAAATTAAAATCAGAAACAAGAAATGAGAGGGTGTGCACACGGGAAGGGACCGAGGCGGGAGAAGGTGGCTGGGCGCCCAGCCACTGGCAACGGTCCGGTGAACGTCCCGGGGGGCCTACTGCAACTGCCACCAATCCCCCGACCCACCTGTAGAGACTAGAGATAGAAGCAAAGAGAAACAAGCGAGGCCACGGCCCTCGCCGCAGATCTGCGGCGAGGGCCAACCTTCACCGCCGAAGTGGTCGGAGAGGGGCACGGCCTCTCTCGGGCTCGCTTGTGGTGTCCTCGATGCTGGTCAAATTGGGCAGAATCTCGACAAATGAAGACACTCCCCGACAAATCCTTCAGGACAGAACAGATATTGGTTCAAGAGCTATTGAAATTAAATTAGATCAACCTCATTAAGGATCCTATGATTAATAAGCATTTCGGGAGAGCAGACTATAATTTTTTATACTTTATCACCTCGTTAACAAGCTTAACTCATGCCCTTGACAGCGATTTATCCCATTGAACTTTCAAAAAATGGGCCTTCCACGTGATCATTCTTTAGTGGCTTCATAAAAGAAATGGTTTAATACCACAAAAACTCCAAACTGATATGTCTGTAACAATTTTATCCTAAACTCCTCAAACTGGTCCATTTGTGACAAAATTACCCTCCTTTAAATTAGATTAATATCACGAAAAACCATAAACTGATATACTTGTGATAAATGGAAGGTAAAACCCCAAATTGGTACATCCGTCAATTATCACGTGTCATTCAACTTAGAAATTTGATAGTTAATTTTAACGGAAACTAACGGAGGTAAAATTGTCACAGATGCACCAGTTTGGGGTTTTTTGTGATCAAAAAATTTATTTGAGGTAAATTTGTCACAAGTGAACAAGTTTTGGGTTTTTCGTGATATCAACCCTAAAAAAAAAAAAGCGAAGATGGGCTATATTTAAACTCATATTCCATTTGTAAGGACTCTTCCATTGTCCATGTGCCACATGCCATGGTGATAAACTTCCCTTAGGTAAAGCCATGATAGCTATTTAAATGAATGATGATATGTAGTTGGAGAGCATTTGATGTCAATGAATGACGACTGTAACATAATTTAGTCCGATTAAATTGAAGATCGGTTCGACCAAAAAAAAAAAAATGGAGATTGCAGTTAATTTTCCCAGTTGTCTTGTTTGTTGACATCATGAAGTCACCCTTGACCCTGTTGCGTTTGTGATCGGCCACGGCTATGCTTGAGAGCTCAGAGACAACGTGGCCATTCCCGCAAGTGAGAAGAGAGAACAGCAACAACGTCCATCCAATCATGGATAGATGAGCGGTTGCCGATGATGCCAGTATAAAGGCTCATCGGTGACTTCATGATGTCGAGTGAGATCATGCGCCGGAAGTGGTTCGTGAAGATGCAGAAGGAGGAACAACGAACAAAGAAGAAGAAAGAAAACAGAAAAATCCAAAAATGCCCCCATCATGCCTTTGTAAATGGCCATTTCAGGCCCTTATTTAAAACAAGATTCACTTGGACCCTTTTTTGAGAAAATGGTTTCACTTCAAGCCTTTAATTGAAATTTTCTCTTTCATATTTTATCCGGACTTAAATTCGAACCACCAAACGCAGTCTAAGAGTTGATTAAGTCATTAAAAATATTGTCTTTATTATGGCTAAAACTTTCTAGACTAATTATAATTACTTCGATTTAGCTCAAATGAGTAACTGAATGTGAATATTATCGGTCTTGTCACATAATTACGTCATTTAGCTCAAACTAAGCACTCATAACCTCTATTTTTTTCTTGGGCCACACTCATTGGTACCTTAGTTTTGTATCATTCTTGGCTCTGAATAATTTCCATTTAAAGAACAATGAATGGAATCCACGTGTAGAGGGAGCGCGTAGCACGGGCTACTTGGCTAGTACATTGATAAATTTGTGACATGAACTTTCCAAGTTCCTTCACAAAATATTTTAAAGAATGTACAAGAACATTATTAATTTTTAAGGCACAAGATTTGACAAAATTAGTTATGATAATCGCAATACACCAAGAGCAGTTGTGGAGGGAGTTTACAAGGAAGATGAACTCATATCAAGTGCTTTTGTCTCTTCCAATATTTGGTCAACACTGACTCTAGAAAAGATATAACGAAAATAAATCCCGATTTTCATTTATTTGTTGTATCGATTGACTATAAGTTTTATGTCTCTACCATATCGTAGTAAAGATTTCTACTTGTTAATGCATTTGTTTCTTGTTTCCAAGGATTATCTATTCAAGATGGAACACATAGAAACAGAACAATGGTCTAAAATTAATACTAGTATTTCCGCTGATATAGAGAATTTTCCATAAAAATTGCAATATGACCAATCCACATATAAAGCACATGTTCCAAATACTAGTAATTAGCAGTACGGGTCAGGGATACGCAAAACTTAAGAGCTTTTCCATGTAATGTACAGCCCATGAAGTGAAGGAAAAGGACTGGTGCTCTTCACATTTGGATTTTCAATGCGTAGGAATGCAAGTATACTGGGGGAATTATGCAAAATTGGCTTTATATGAGCTGCACGTTCTGTCAAATTTGGAAGCTTCGAGGCAATGAAACCTCTCTCTCTCTCTCTCCACGAAGCAGCTGCTCACAGGAAGTCTTTGGGTCTTTGACTTCAGCCTGCAATTCAATGTCTTTTCCTTCCATTTCATTCATTCGCTCCAATCAAAAGCAGTTGTGGGAGAGACGGGCACAATCCGAACTGGAGTTATGAAAACTTTGTGTACAAGCAATCACAATCTATCGAGAGAAACCATCTAGCTTATACGAATTTGAGAAGATGGTGTTCAATCTCCGAACCTTCAGTTTTACTGAGTCTGTTCAAGGTGACCCAACACCTCCTCCAACAACACCTCCCAAAAGCTTCTCCCTAAGGGAGCTCCGAGTCGCCACAGACAACTTTAGCCACGACAACTTCTTGGCGGAAGCTAGATTCGGGAAGCTTTACCGGGGGCGTTTGGCTGATGGTTCGGTAGTGGCAGTAAAGAGAGCGACCTTTGTCGATCGATGGAGGGAAGAGCAGTTTGAAGCAGAAGTGCAACTGGGAAGCTCGACGCACCCTAATGTGCTATGCGCAATCGGCTTTTGCAGGACCAAGAAAGAGCTTGTACTGGTCTATCCCTCGATGATCAACTGCAGCCTAGCTTATCATCTCAGACATAGACGGGATCGGTCCATCCGACCCCTCGATTGGACGACTCGGAAGCGTATAGCCTTGGAAGCAGCAAGAGGTCTTGCGCACCTACATGATCAAGGCAACATTAAGATCGTGTACCGCGACATTTCCACTTCAACTATATTGCTGAATACCCAATTTGAGGCCGTGATAGGAGGTTTTTGGTTTAAGGGAAGTACTTTTCCTATTCTCAACCCCCCTGTGAGAGTCTCATCCTCATCCCAAGGAAAAGATTCGCATGATTCTGATTCCTCTTCTCAAACTCATCATCTCAACAAAGACTCCTATGTTGACACCACCAATGCCTCCAGCGGTGTTGAGTTAATTGACCCGGAGGGGTGGCTCACAGGGAAGCGCGTTCCGAAGAAGGATGTTCACGCCTATGGGAAAATGCTTCTTGAGCTCATCTCTGGACAGCCATATTTAAAACTTGATGTGTCTGCGTATAATAAAAATCTCAGTTTGGAGCAATGGATTGGTCGATTTATGGGCAAGAACGAGTTGGGAAGAGTGATCGATCCCAATTTGCACGGGAAGTATGTGGAAAAAGAAGCAGAGCAGCTAGTCCGACTAGCATTATTGTGTGCGGACAGCGATCCATCTGTCCGACCCGAGATGTCAGAAGTGGTTGCAATGATCGAAAGCCAAATGCTTGGGCGGGATCATAGCAGCAGGAGCAATTGGAGTGGAAGCGAGTATGATTCAACTCCTTACTATTCCTTACCTCCTTCTCCTTCTCTCTCATTGGAGATATGCTAAATCTCGATCACCGTTGTCTTCTACAGGCTCAGCTTTTGTTTGTATGATCTTTGTTTTGTGACATATATTACATGCTTTACCTTACATCGTTTTTGTATTAGTAACAGTACGAAACGAAGTCTTTGTTCAAGAACATTCGAATGGCGACATTGAGTTTCTAAACCCTCTGTCCCAGCATTAGTCGGTAATGACCACTGTCTTCTGACATTTTAAAGGAATTGAAAGCAACAGAAAGAGTTACTGAAATTGTTGCCTTTTAATCTATCACACGTACTTGAAAAGGCAAAAGAAACTTGTGAAGGAATGCCTATGTGTTATAAATCCTGTTTTCTTAGATTAGTGGCCACCATCAAAGTTACAAAGCATTTGGAAGGTTGGACTTTCACATAACTCAGTTGAGTATGCATCTCAACCCTCGAATTAGGTCTCAAATTTTAGAGGTTAGACATCTCAATGCATCTATGCACCCAATACAACCCATACTACTACATCTTCACTTATTCGATTGTCTTTTGCAGTTCCTTAATCCGATGGCCATGCGTTTTATGGTTTTGTTTAAGGAAGTACAGGTCAACAATCTGTGTCCTTACAATGTTTATTCATCCTGTATAAATGGAGCAGCATTTAGATGTGCATGCACCCTGAGGTTGTAGACTTTTTGTGGTAGACTGTTTTTCCCTCTAACTTTCAGGATGTGAGGCAGAAACTAAGGTAGCATCATCTAGACAGGCTTTACTTGCTAATTAAGGAAATTCCAAGTCGTCGTCACTCTCATCCTCTGCCAGCAATTTCAAATTTGTATCTCTGCTTCAGAAGAGGATATGGTTGGACTAGTTGGTTTTGACTTTCTTCGCTACGAGGAAACTCATATGTATGAAGCTTCCAAGAAATTTCTCAGCCATGGGGTGGCCAATAGTAGGGAATACAAGGGAAGCACCTTCCTCCATGCATTCCTGTGCCAAATCCGTTTCTTGTGCGCAATGGCTCAAGCCGAAGGATCTCCCCTTGCAGAACCAATTCCATGTCTGAATCAAAAGTCTCCTCCTTGAATTTGAGATTGCCCTTCTTGTCCTCGAGGAACTGATCATTTCAGAAGACGTAATATTTCGATCTCTCTAGTGAAGCAGAGTTGTAGTATGCGTTCGTAGCCCCTTTCAACGGCTCGTACGATCCACCTAGACATCGGATCGTGATGTCGTCTTATTGGAACCAGCACAGAAAATGACACAATCTGAGAATCTTCCATAATTTTAAGAAACATTTGAATATGCTGTTATTTTCTAGAAGTTATGAAACATGTGAAGATAATGGAAAGTGGTTTTCTAGACATCCAAAAGTCTATTATCGATACGATATGTTCAAATAAATATAGATAGTTTGAAAGTCTAATTCGTTATCTTTGAGGGGTTCAATACAATTCTTGAAGAAAATAGACTAGCACAATCAATATTTGGAAAGATATAATATTTATTCGCTATCCGAAAAATAAATATTTTTGTGCAAAAATTGAGTGGTTCGGATGTTATATAGGCGATTCGGGTGTGTATAGGGCCCATAGATCCAAAATTCAGGTCTCGGAAGGCAATTTTATAGTTTTGTACCGAATGGACTTTTGGGCCCAAGTGAGTGTTTGGCCTTTACTTCTAAGGCAAAATGACACAAACAGTCCCTGAACTTTGATTCAATGTGGAATTTGGTCCATGAACTTTTAATTTATTCAATATAGTCCCTGAACTTTAACCCAATGTGCAATGTGGTCCATGAACTTTTAATTTGTTCAATGTCATCCCTAAACTTTTGGTACATGATAATTTAATACCTGAACTATATGAAAATGTTAAATGTAGTCCTTTCCATTAATTCAAGTTCATGGACTACATTGAACATTTTCATATAGTTCAATGATTGAATTGAACATGTACCAAAAGTTCAAGCATGACATTAAATAAAATAAAAGTTCAGGGACCACATGAACATTAGCCTAAAGTTCATGGATTATATTGAATAAATTAAAAGTTCAAGGACCAAATTGCACATTGAATCAAAGTTCAAATACCGTTTGTGTCATTATTCCTACTTCTAAATAGTGCAATTTCTAATAAGGGGCGTAAATCAATATGGTACGTATTTTGTTGTATAGAAAAGTATAGCATTTTGTGATATAGTACTTAATTTTCTTTTTAACTTCATGTGAATGCTTATGCAAACATTCTAGAAATGAAATGTCATTTACATTGGTGATATATGTGTTGATATGTGGTATTGTGATAGCGATTTGAAACTTATTGTTGACATACGTACTGAGACATGATATAGTATATATGTGCATGAATCGGTTCTGTTTCGGGGCTTAATCATAGCCGATGTGATTGTCGAGGCTTTACCATACCCAGTATGGTTTTTGGGTCTTGTTACCTGGTGAAAGCGTAATCGCAAGACTTTCTTGACATTATCGATCGAATAAGTTTGACACATGCTTTCGACCAAAAAAAAAGTTTGACATATGCTAGCTATGCTGTATTTTGTAATTTATGATATGGAGCATATCCTATTATTTGTTGAAATATATTCATTATACATATTACATGGTAAGTGTGATGAATACGACGGTCTTGATACATATGGATGCATACTTTCAAAACCGCATCATGTTTTGTTCGTTGTCAAATGAGTGGTGGTTGTCACTTACTGAACCATGGTTTTGCTCATCCTCTTTTATTATCATTTCAGGTCCAAACATAAGGAGTTTAATCGAAAACATGGGAGAGCGATTCGAGTTTGCATGACACTTTACTTTAGACTATTTGAGTAAAGATTACTAAGTTGGAATTTATGAATCTAATTTATTAAGTTGATACGTATGGAGCATACTTTTAGAACCGCATCATGTTTTGCTCGCTGTCATAGGAGTGGTGGTTGTCACTTACTTAACCATGGTTTTGCTCATTCTCTTTTAATATCGTTTCAGGTCCAAACATAAGGAGTTTAATCGAATACATGGGAGAGCGATTCAAGTTTGCATGGCACTTTACTTTAGACTACTTGAGTAAAGATTATTAAGTTGGAATTTATGAATCTAATTTTTGCTGAATTCATAATACGATGGACTTTGTTAATTTATCTTCATTTTGGTTAAAAGTTTCTTCCTTCATTTGATAAAATGTTAAAACATGTCTCTAGTTTGAGCCCGTAAACGAAACCCGACTCGAGATAAATTTGGGATGTATTTGGGGCTTGGGGAAACATTTATAGTGTACTTGAGTGACTAGTCGGCAAGAAAACAACAAAGTAAGAAAGTTCAACAGGATTCGGTAGTTGACCAAAAAAAAAAAAAAACAGGATTCGGTCAAACTAGGGCTTTAAGTTGACCGTATTCACACGGATTTCACTTTCCTGTTGAATTCGGCCACTAATCATCCACTGTGGAAATATATAATATTTTTTTTGTAATGAAATATATTATATTTGTGGGGATTTTTTGGGGTTATGCCATTATTGACAAAAAAGAGGTCTTGAAGCGCCGCTTGTGTGCGAGTGCTTGATGTGCGAAGACGTGCAGAGGAATTCGTGAATTACATTCATGCAATCAGTGCTACGAGGTCTACGATCAATCACGTAAATTTGATATCCGATTTATTTTCTTGTGCTCGTCTATTTTATTGTTCGACCGTAGCTAACTTCGCAACATAAAACATGGCCAATCACTTCCTTAGATTCATGGATTTTGGGTTGAGATGCTATAATCGTAAGACGAGTTGGTATTCGATAATATACACTCCTAATTTACGAGCTAAGCATGGGTACAAAGTTGAACAAACATGACTAACAAGTTATTGGCTTAATTGCCAAGAGAATTTTGTTCTTTCCTTAGGCCGATGTGGAGAAGTTCCAACTTAAGATTGCTCGGGGAGATAAACTAGTCAAGGTGCGAAAAAGCCGACCCACCCCTTGGATTGCTAAAAATAACTTCAAGCTATGTTAGCTTATTTCTCCCTAAGCCAGTTTCTAGCCTTGGACAACTTTATGTTGCAATTTCCACAGCAACAACGAGAGATGGGTACGAGATTCTTTTGTTAAATGAAGATGGGGGATGATGCACATACCAAAAATATTGTGTACAAAGAAATTTTTGACAAACTTCCCTTAGGTTAACCTACAAGAGCTATTTGTTGCGAAAGCAAACGATCGAACAATAAAATAGATAGAACAAGAAAATAAATTAGACACTAAATTTACGTGGTTCGGTCGTAGAGACCTACGTCCACGGGGAGAGCAGTAACGAATTTCACTATAGATCAAGCGATACGACGGAGATTACAATCACACTCGAGTCACTCAAACACTCTCAATGTTTTCCCAAGCCTCAATTATATCCAATAACTCACGCAGTATTTAATATCACAATTTCTTACGAAATAATCTCTCAATCTCACGAAGAAATTATATACAAATTCTTATCATAAGAATTTAATTGACTTCGACACTTGAATTCTTGACGTAATTTCACGAACAAAACCCACTTCAAGCACTCGTGTAAATCGGCGCTTCAATCTCTTCACGTATTCATCAACAACGGCTTGCAACCTTGCGGCAAAAGAGCAGCTTGCGTTTATACGTGGGGTCTACGGTCGAACTTCACTCTTGAAGTAGAGTCCAACGCCGAAAGAAAAGGTTGTACACAAAAGTACACTTTCCTGGTTGGTTTCTATCCATCCACGCTTTTCATTAAAGTCCACAATTTCCTTTTTTGTTTTATTTCTTTTATTTTTTGGCCGATTTTTTTTTTGTCTATCCATTATCCATCCACGCTTTTCAATAAAGTCCACAATTTCCCTTTTTTCATTTCTTTTATTTTTTGACCGATTTTTTTTTATCTATCCTACTCTAACTCTCAACTTACTCTTAGATTACTTCTTGCAGGTCATGAGAATCAAAACCTACATCTAAAACTACACGTCCTCACTCTCAGTCTTCCTTGAGAACTTTCTAAGTAAGAATAGTGGCACTGGAGCAAACGAATATTTTCTTTCCTCTTATTGTGACTCATGCTGATCAAGTCAAAGTCCAACTTCCAGCTTGAGAGCAAAGACTCTAATTCGTATACGGAAATTGTTGTGTACTTCAACAAACCTTTATCCAAATACAAGGTCCAAGACTGACTACCCATCATTGATCGTGACTTCAACACAGAAACAATTTCCGTATTTTTTGCAATCTGTATTCGGATCGGAATGCATATAATGAGCTTAAACTCGAGACATATTTGGAGACTTACCTAAATATTCCTTTTGGTACCTTACTCTTGTAACATTTATGGCTTTGAATTTTTATACTCTATTTAACGAACACCGAACGGAATCCACATGTATCCCGTGCATAGCATGGGCTACTAGGCTAGTACACTGATAAATTAGTGACACAAATTTTCTAGGTTACATTATTAGTTTTTGAGTAGCAAGATTTGACGAAATCAATTATGACAATTGCAATACGCCAAGAGCAATTGCACAGGGAGTTTCCAAGAAAGTTGAAATCATATCAAGTACTTTTGTCTCTTCCAATATTTGGTCAGCACTAACTCTAGAAAGATCCGACGAAAAAAAAAAATCCCGATTTTCATTTATCTGTTGTATCAACTATAAGTTTTATGTCTTTACTAATTCATAGTAAAGATTTATACTTATTGTTAATGCATTTGTTTCTTGTTTCCAAGGATTATCTATTAAAAATGGAACATAGAGAAAAGAATAATGATCTAAAATTAATACTAGTATTTCCACTGATACAGAAAAGTTTCCATTGAAATTGCAATATGATCAGTAGACATATAACACACATGTTCCAAATACGAGTAATCAGAAGTATGGATTTTCAAGGATATGCAAAAGTTAATAGCTTTTCCATGTAATGTACAGTCGATGTAGTAAAGAAAAAGGACTAGTGCTCTTCACATTTGGATTTTTCAATGCGTAGGAATCCAAGAACACTAGAAAATTATGGAAAATTTGCTTTATATGAGTTGCACATTTTGTTAAATTTGGAAGATTCGAGGCAATAGAACCTCTTTAGCTCTCCCTTTCCACGAAGCTGCTCCCAGGAAGGCTTTGAGTGAGATGGCCCCACACTTTGACATCAGCCTACAATCCAACGACTTTTCCTTACCATTGCATTCTGTCACACCGACCAAAAGCAGTCGTGGGTGAGAGGGCACAATCCCAATCGGAGTTATAAACACTTCCGTGTACAAGCAAAGTCTCTTTGGAATTGCAGAAGGTATTCCCAACCCAATCACTACCAATCGAGAAAAATCATCAAGCTAACACGATCCATTTGTACTTGAGAAGGATCTACTTTTCCCCGCTTAAAGATGGTGTTCAATCTCCGAACCTTCAGTTTTACCGAGTCCGTTGAAGACGATCCAATACCTCCTAAAAGCTTCTCTCTAAAGGAGCTCCGAGTTGCGACACACAACTTTAGTCGCAACAACTTCGTAATGTTCGATTGGCACGACAAGGTTTACAGGGGGCGCTTGGCCGATGGTTCGCTCGTGACAGTAAAGAGAGTGTGGTGTGTTGATCAATGGAAGGAAAAAATTTTCGAAGCAGAAATGCAAGTGGGAAGCACGGTTTCAACGCACCCAAATGTGCTACGTCTGAGGGGCTTTTGCAGGACCAAGAAAGAGCACTTACTTGTGTATCCCTTGATGATCAACAATAGCCTATCTTACAATCTTAGAGAGAGACCGGATCGGTTTGCCCGACCTCTCGATTGGACTACTCGCAAGCAAATAGCCTTGGGAGCAGCGAGGGGGCTTGCACACCTTCACAATCAAGGTAACATCAAGATCATGCATCGCGACATCTGCTCGTGTAATATACTGCTGAACGTGCATTTTGAAGCCGTGATAGGAGGATTTTCGATTGCCATGATCATGCATGAGAGAAATGTAGAGAAAGGGACTATTGAGTGGCCCACGCGCATGCCAAGGCGGGGCACGGGAGTCTCAATCTCATCACCAGTAGAAGAAAATTCAGCTGATTCTGGCTCCGATTCTCAATCCTATCATCGCTATGAAGACGTTTATGTCAAGACCCCCCGATGCGGCAGCTCTTTTTTTACTGCCCCTGAGTGCTTCCACACAGATAAGTGCACACTGAAGAATGATGTCTTCTCATACGGGAGGATGCTTCTCGAGCTCATCTCGGGACGGCCAATTATAGAACTTCATGTGTTGGCGTATAAAGAAATTCTCAGTTTGGAGGAATGGCTTGGTGATTTTATAAACAAGAACGAGTTGGGAAGGGTGATGGATCCCAATTTGCGGGGGAACTATGTGGAAGAAGAAGCAGAGCAGCTAGTCCGACTGGCATTGTTGTGCGCAGATGGCGATCCATCTGTCCGACCCAAGATGTCGGATGTGGTTACAATGATCGAAAACTAAATGCTTGGGCAGGATCCTAGCAACAGGAGCAATTGGAGTGGAAGCTGAGCTTGTCAGAAGTGGTGACTACTTCTTCCCTCCTTGTCCTTCTCTCTCGTTGGAGATATGCTAAATCTTGATCACCATTGTCTTCTGCAAGCTCAGCTTTTGGGTTTTCCTTTTCCTATATTATTGCCATTTTGTTTGTATGATCTTTGTTCTGCGACATATAGTACGTGCTTTACCTTCCATGATCTTCGTATTTGTAGTAGTGCGAAATGAAGTCTTGGCTCTAAGTTGTTCAAAAACACCAGAATAGCGGCATTGAGTTTCTAAACCATTTGTCTTAGCATTAATCAGTAACGACCACTCTCTTCTAACATTTTCAAGGAATTGAAAGCAACTGAAAGAGTTGATCAAAGTGCTGCCTTTGAATCTATCACACTTATTGTGAAATGGAAAAAAAAACTTGTGAGGAATGTCTATTTGATATAAATCCTATATTCCTAGAGAAATTGGATGCCATCATCAAAGTAACAAAGCGTTTGGAAGGAAGGACATTCACATACCTCAGCTGCCTATGCATCTTAACCATTGAATTAGGTCTCAAATTCTAGAGCTGAGGCATCTCAATTCATACGCACCCAATACAAACCATACTACTAAATTTGAAAATGGAGTAGAGTCTGAACAAATCATCTTGGTCGTACAGGGCCATCTGCAATCTCCAACTGTTCGATTGTCTTTCGCTGTTCCTTAATTCACTAGTTTGCCGCCCATGCGTTGCATGGTTATGTTATATGGAAGTACATTTCAACAAACTGTTTCCCTCCAATGTTAATTCATCCCGTATAATTGAGTAGCATTTAGACGTGCATGCGCACTGAGGTTGAAGACACTTCGTGGCAGACGGTGCTTTTACCTCTACTTTTCAGGATGTTATCCATCAACAAAGGTAGCATCGTGTAATTATGCTTTACTTCTTAAATAATGGAATTCCAAGTTGTTGTCACTCTCATCCTCTGCCTGCATTTTGAAATTTGTGTCTGTGGGACTAGTAAAACTAGGGAATACAAGGGAAGCACCTTCCTCCTTGCATTCCTGAGTGCGCAGAGGCTCGAGCCGAAGGATCTCCTATTGCAGAGCGGATTCCATGTCTGAATAGAAAGTCTCCTCTTTAAATTTGATACATAGCCCTCTTTGTTTTTTTCGGTTGTCCTCAAGGAAATTAAACATTTCAAAAGACGTAATATTTCCATCTCTTTAGCAACACGGAGTTGTAGTTCGCGCACGCAGCCGCTTCCGACAGCTTGCACAATCCATCCTGACATCAGAACACAATGCCATTTACACCATTGGAACCAGCACAGAAAAATATACAATCTGCGATTTTAATAATTTTCAAAAACATTTGAATCTTCTGTTATTTTCCAGAAGTTACAAACTTGTGGAAATTGTGGGAAATGGTTTTCTAGATATTCAAAAATTCTATCATTGATCTGGTCTGTTCAAATAAATATGGCTAGTAATTCGAAGTCTTTGAAAGATCCAATACGATTATTGAAGAAAACAGACTAGCATGATCGATATTTTGAAAAATATAACTATTATTTGCTATGCAGAAAAATACTGTATTTTTACAAAATTGAGTAGTTCTGATGATATACGGCATTAAGTAACTTTTAGGCGATTGGGGTGCGTATATGGGCCATAGACCCGAAATCCGCCTCTTGAAAGGCATTTTTGTAATTTTTTACCAAACGGGCTTTTCGGCCCCAGCGAATTTAGCCACCATATCTAGAGAGTGCAACATCTAATAAGGTACGTAAATTGTGTTAGGGTCCAAGGAAATAGTTGGTTTGCATGTGTGGTTTATTTAGCACTCAAACTAGATGAGTGATTTTTACCACTTCTTCGTTTTGCAAAAATTGCATGATTAGATTTATCGAGAAAGAGTCATATTGTGGCATGGCACGTATATAGAAAATATATTATTTCGTGGCTCCTTTTGAAAACTGGACAAAGTACTGAATTTTTTTTAAACTTCATGTTGCTGTTCTATGCAAACATTCAGAAAATGAAATGTCAATTATATTTGTGATGCCCTAGATTTAATTGACTCGAGGCATTGGCTGCTTTAGCCCGTCCCATACCGAGCCTTAACTTTGGAGTTTGCTTCAACTTTGGAGGTTACGTCAAAAGAAGCCTCCGAGAGTTAATTTTAGTTTTCACATATATACTCCAGGATTGCTCTCTTCCTATTTGGTATATAGTTCGGGTCATTCCTGTCTCCTTCGCCATCGAAGAAGCCTGTTAGGAGCTGCTTCTTGTCCAGGCCGACCTTCTAGCCCCGGCAACCACTCCTCGGCCTCATCGGATTGGGCGTTACAATATTGGTGATATATGTTCCAGCATGTGGTATTGAGATAATTGTAGATGAGGCAATGTGCCACGTAGAATAGCCGCGATGACTGAATTGCTACGTCAGCGATTTCTGGTGAAAATTGGCCGGAAGGGTTATATTGGAATTTTGCGCAAAAGTTTATGGTTAAATTGATAAAATTGAAAGTTTAAGACTGGATTATTAGCCGTATAATAGGTTTACCCAATTAGGACTAATTGGGTAATTTTCCCTTTTTCACGGTCTTCTTGTAACTGTGGAGATCTGTTTGCTGATAATTTTCACCACTTCATGGGGATAAAGTTCATCCCAATACCACATGCCATGAGACAGTGACATTTTTAGTACGCGCTTGAGTTTTGAAGAAAGGAATCGTCCATCTATTGTCTACTTAATCACTTTGACGTTAAATTCTTCTTGATCACGATCCGGTTAGGAGTCAAATATTTCCCCTCTAACCTCTTTTTAATTGCTTGTGGCCGATTATGCTATCTCTGTCTATATATATCGACATATATTACTCTAACACCCTGTATTTTGATGACATTGTAGTGGCATTCTGAATGACCTTTTGATCGCAAATGTAGTGCACTACAAAAAACCATGTTTTTTCCGACGAAATTTCCAACGAAAAATTTGGAAAAATTCGTTGGAAAACGAATTTCAACGAATTTTCCAACGAAAAAAATTCGTTGGTAATAAGTCGTCGGAAATTTTTCCAACGAAAAATTTCAATTTTCGTTGGAAATTTGCGATAAATTTTTTTTCGTTGGAAAATTCGTTGGAAAACTCGTGGCTAAATTCGTTGGAAACGAATTTTTTTCCGACGAATTTTTTAGTTGAAATTACAAATTTTTTTGGTCGAGTTAAAAATCGTGGAAATTTTTTTCCATCGAAAAAGAATTTTTTTTGGTCAAAAATTTTTTTTGATCGTAGGGTTTTCGTTGCAAAATTCGTGGGATTTTCGTTGCAAAATTCGTGGGAAATTTCCCACGAATTTTGCAACGAAAATTGTACACACTAAAATAATTGCCCGGAAAATTGAAATTCGTTGGAAATTCGTTGGAAATTTCCAACGAATTTTCGAACGAAAATTATACACACTGAAGTAATTGCCCGGAAAATTGAAATTCGTTGGAAAATTCGTTGGAAATTTTCAACGAATTTTCCAACGAATATAAAAAATACCGAACAGTACCGGGTTTTTTTTGGAATTCGTTGGAAAATTCGTTGGAAATTTCCAACGAATTTTCCAAAAAAAAAAAATTCGTTGGAAATTTCCAACGAATTTTCCAACGAAAATTGTAAACACTGAAATAATGGCCCGGAAAATGGAAATTCGTTGGAAAATTCGTTGGAAATTTCCAACGAATTTTCCAACGAATATAAAAAATGCCGAACAATGCCGGGTTTTTTTGAATTCATCGCAAAATTTGTTGAAAATTTCCAACGAATTTTTTTTCGTTGGAAATTTCCAACAAACTTTGCGACGAAAATTTTTTCGTTGGAAATTTCCAACGAACTTTGCGACGAAAATTGTTTCGTTGGAAATTTCCAACGAATTTTGCGACGAAAAATTTTTCGTTGGAAATTTCCAACGAATTTTACTTTTCGTTGGAAAATTTGTCGCAAATTTGCAACGAAAATTTTTTTGTCGCAAATTTTCGTGGCAAAATTCCAGTTTTTTTGTAGTGGTGACTGTTACTAAGTGGTAGATACATAGGAATAATGTTATCAGTGGTCCATATACTTTTATCTGAAATTATTCCTCTACTTTATTTGGTTCAAAATGGTCCATACACTTTTTAAAAATGTCCACCGTTAGCCCTTCCCTTAATTTAGTCACTAGAACGTCAAGTTGGACACCACAGCACGTGTCGTAGTAAACACTATTAAAAAGTACTTGGATCATTTTGAAAAAGGGATAATGACACAAATAGTCCTTGAATTCTAGTTAAATGTGCAATTTGATCCATAAACCTATAATTTGTTCAATTTAGTGCCTGAACTTTAGTTTAATGTTCAATGTGATCCCTTAACTTTTAATTTGTTCAATGTGGTCTTTGAACTTTTGGTATATGTTTAATGTAGTCCCTGAACTCTATGAAAGTGTTCGATGTAGTCCCTGAGCTTGAATTAATGAAAAGACTACATTGAATATTTTCATATAGTTTATGGACTAAATTAAATATATACCAAAAGTTCAAGGATGACATTGAACAAATTAAAAGTTCATTGACCACATTGCACATTGGGTTAAAATACAGGGACTATATTGAATAAATTAAAAATTCAGGGACCACATTGCACATTGGGCCAAAGTTCATAGACTGTTTGTGTCATTTTCCCTTTTGAAAATCTTGGGTATGAGTTAAGATGGTTGGATATATATCTGAAATGATACTTTTTGAGATTTAGTTTGCTAGTTTGGGAAAGTATATATTAATGATTATAGAACTCTAATCTTGTAACTAAATTACTGCTTATCAGGTATATAAATTGAGATATATATTTGATAAACAGTTAAGATTGGTTATGTTTGAGTCTGCATCATTCAGATATGAGGATTGTCGTGTCATTTCCCCTATTCTTATAGGAGTTGGGTGTGAGCTAGAAGGGTAGTTTAACCCTAAATCATTACGGGTTCTAATTTAGTAGTCAAAGTGCTCATTCCTTGCATAGTTACGTCACCCACTAAGTCTCATTGGCCACTTAGGGCACGTTTGGTAACATTTCTATTTTTTTGTTTTTTTGTTCTTTTGTTCCCTGGAACATAAAAAGAATAGAAATCCGTTTGTGTATGTCAATTAAATTTTTCTATTTCCTGGAATAGAAAAGTGGCTAGGGA